GTGCGTGTGCGTGTGCGTGTGCGTGCGTGTGTAACCCTCTCCTTCCTCTTCTACCACGGATCTTGACTAATCACGTGCGGCTTTAACCGAAAGGGGGAAAAAACAGGAGGAAAAAAAAAGTCGGCTCCCATTAAGCGGCTCCCTCTTAGGAGCCGGCTCATGTCGTTCACTTCAAAGAGCCGGCTCCAAGAGCCGGCTCGTTCGCGAACGACACATCACTAGAACACATCCCTGCTATACAGGTGGTTGATTAAAAATAAAGGTTCTGCTTACACTGCACTGTTTCTCCATTTTTACTAAATTCAGAGTAACTGTCTTAACCTAACAGTGGATAATTTTTAAATTGGGCAGGATGTGTGTGTCTGTGTGTGTATAGAGAGATGTATATCAATAGAGATATGTATGTATATGTGTATATAGAGAAATGCATGTATGTACTGTATTGCTATGTATATATCGCCGAGGAGGGACGGACTCACCCCACAGGGCCCAGCTGAAATAATGACGGAAGCTCACTGACTGATGATGCAGTCTGCAAACTTCCTCGTGGCCTGTTGATTTGAATAATGCTGCCTTCAAGGACTGTGGGTCATATACAGTATCTAATTTCCTTTGGTAAAGGTTGGTCAGGAGTAACCTTTGCTAAAGGTGGCTTAAAAGTTGCATCGAGGTGCCTTTGTTCACTTTTACAATTTGAACGACCGATCTTTGTACTTGTGGTTCATCTTACTCAAACAGGAATGGAAAGGAAAGTTTCAAGGCAAAAAGGTGAATCTGAAAAGGCACATCGTCTTCCGGCATATCCAAGGTCTTCCCCGAGGCCTCCTGGTGGCTTCTGCCCAGAACACCTCCAAGAGGCATGTCAAACAGATGCCCAAAACTCTTAATATGGCTCGTCTTGATGCGGAGGAGCAGAGGCAGTGCCTCTACTCTGAGGCCTCCTGGAGGCCAAACTTCTCACCCTGCAATATCTGTTTGAATTTGTTGACACAGAAGGTGCTTGTGGAGGCTCTCAGTCGTACAGGTACAGATGACGACTGACAGAACCCTTTCTACGATTGACACAGAAGGTTTATAAGATGACATTACCCATGTTACAAGAGTTTAAACAGGACATGATTTCAAATAGACAGTGCTGAAAATGCACAAACATACAGCATAAGGTTACTGTTTCGTTCTGTTCAGTGCAGCGTTACGGAAAGAAGGAGAGGACGCGAGACTGTGCACATGCTGGTCAAATTGGATACAGGCTGCAAGGTAAAAGTTGCGAGTGCGTGTGTAAGTGTGTGTGTGTGTGTGTGTGTGTGTGTGTGGTCTGCAATGACAGGCATTGCTCAACATGCCAATCACATACTTTTCCACAGAAATAGGTTAACCGGAGTACCACTGGTTATTTATTATGAATTCCGTAATGACGATCATTTGATAAGATATATTTGGCTTTCTATCGTCCTGTTTTTTTTTTTTGGGGGGGGGGGGTTCCTCCATGGCTTTTGCGTCTAGAAACTCCCCTCCTGTATCGCTCAAAACAAAACACAAAACAGCTCAAGAAACGTGTCTGAAGGTGCAGAGAACACCTTTGGTAAATAGTGTCTGTGTACACAGTGCAGTGTCTATTTCAGGCCACCTTGTAAATCCTGGTATTTGATATACAGTATACAAACCTGAGTAACAGCTACAGTATACCAAAACCAGTTGCGTTTTCTGAATTCGGGTTATGTCGTGTTGAGCCAAGAATTGCATTTTCGTGTCGACATTAGGCACGTGACCTCGAAAAGTAGGCGCAATGTGGAGTTTTGTTTTGATCAAAATAAGATAGGGCTGCCATGTGCACCCCACCTTCACGACGGATTGAGTCTTTTCGTCATGCCTCCTCCACTCACTGACAACTAATAACAGCGACTTGTCGTTTATTAACCGCCACATAATAAATCCGCGTTGTGGAGGAAGGGTACAGGATATTCTATCTTGTAAATGAAGTCGTACCCGTGTGACCTGGAAGTGTGCGTTTAGAAGCGGGCGGTGCCGTTTTTCTACATCCGGTGTCTTCGAACCTCTCACCAGCCAGCAGTGAGCGAAGGCGGACTACTGAAGAATAATGGGGAGGACTGCCACTCTGCTGCTAACATGAAATTTCACCACCAACAAGTAACACCAAGAGCCTTGAGTCAAGACTCGCTCTAACATAGCGAGTCCAGCAGCAACACACCTTGCAGCGCGTGCCCTTTTCATCTGGATATATTGCGACCAAGGTGAGCCTGTTGTGTTCGTTCGCGGCCAAACACAAACCGGAATTTGTGGGGGCTTTTGCTTGTTCGTTAACATTTTCATAGCTGACGGGCTAATTTCCTTGTTGTGCTCGGTCCAGCTGTCACTCAGCCATCAGTACATGTTGGCGAAGGCGTTCACGACAGGCGGCGACTGGGGTTTATTCGATTATTATCTTTTATATACCGCGTCTGGAACACACTCTGAAAACTCCCTGTAGAAATGTGGAGTAATTCAGTGTTTTCCACATCGCTAATTTGGAAAGAAATTGGCCCAGACGATGTGGCTGGCTAGTGTGGCTAAGCTTAGCTTTGCGGCAGGTTTGTCAGGTTTTCTGCTGGCGAGCTAACTTGGCTAACGGTGTGTTCATCCACTAATCGATGTCATGACCAGCATAGATAGAGGTTGAACCCCTACGGCTGGCGACTTGCTTTGTTCATGAAACATTCTATCATTTCCTTGTTTTGAAACGCGCTCAGACCTCGTCTCTTTACCGCTCAGTATAAGATTAACCCTCGCGGCTTCAACAAAGCGCTGCATCTCTCCAAGTATTGTTTAGGTTCGTCCGTGCGATGCAAAGAGAGGAGACCATATCTTTTCATTCTATCATTCCACGGCCTCACCTCAGTCTGCTGGCTTTTGCTTGAGTCGAATTCTTTGATCGTTTCGGGTTAATGGAATCGCTCATGTCAAACAACTCGCCTTCCACTCACACTTCACAAATCGAACCTCATCATGAACGCCCATGCAAACTTATTTAAGAAACAAAAGCCCAACATGGTTTACAACTTAATCCATGGCATATTTTTTGTGTTCAACACGTGTAATTTGAGCTCACTTAGGGCAAAACTTCCTTTTCAATTTCTACTGGAAATGTTATTTGACGCTGTCACAGCAGGAGTGTGGACTATTGGCAGGCCCCCTCTCAGGCTACTCTTTCCACTGAAGGTTAAATCACCCCACTTGCAGCCTTTATTTCTCAGTAACAATGAACAGATGCCAACTGATCAGTTAGTTGATACGTTAGGGAAGCACTTAGTACCTTCTTATCATTGAAGCCGTTCAATATTCAGGTACATTTTTGCGCAATAGTGTAGTTTAGTTTAACAGAACATATCCGTATATTCCGCCTGATATTAAAAAATATTTCCCAATGCCATGTGTAACCTGATTTGTTGCCGTTTCATATTTCTCTTGACAAAAACAAAAACAGTCGATTCCAGGCTCGAACTCAACCTCATTCAGAATGCTGTAGCTCGGGTTCTGACCAAAGCAAACGGTCCTAAAGAATTGACACTCGCTCTCCGCTCTAGACTAGATTTTAAATTTATTCGACTGTTCTATAAATCACTGGATGGCTTTGGTCCTGAATATATCAAAGAAATGCTATTGGAGTATAAACCCAGTAAGACTGTGAGGTCAGGAGACTCGGGTCAGTTCGTGGAGTCCAGACTTCAAAGCAAACATGGTGCATCAGCCTTTAGCTGTTTGCTGCACACAAAGAAATAAAGTTACCAACAGAGCTGAAGTGTGTTTAAATCCAGTTTAAAATCCATGTTCCCTTTCCATACCGCCATACCTATGATTATGATTAAGATAATGGTGTCATGATTAGGAGTATTTCAAAAATCAATGTTTCCAAAATTATGTTCTTGCCCTGTACATTCTATTAGTAATTGTTAGGGATGCTCAGATTGATTGGTGGCCAATAATTATTGGTCGATATTTGTGAAAAAGTGTGTGATCGGTGAATCTGATCAATTCCACTAAAGTCCGATCGATCACCTTATGCATGTAATTATTCTGGTAAGGGAGTGACATAATTTTCTGCAAAGTCTTTCTCTACTATAACAGTTGCTTGCATCTATCTTTTGTCCCATATGAACTTATATGTGGATATTTTTTTGCTGAAAATTGTCATCAAATTTAGCCATTGTGGGTGAGTACTGACATTATGTTCAGGTTTCATCGTATTTGTTGAAACCTGTACCAACTGTTAACATAACAAAATGTCATGTATCATTGGATTTTGTGTTCGGTGTTGAACAAGCAAATCGGGCTTGCCACACTGGTCTTTGTGCACTGGTGGACAATTCAATGTGCACATTCTATTGCTACATCCTAGGGCAACAAAACAAACAAAAAAAAAAAACATGCGGTTTTTCTTCAATAATCAGAGCGATCCATTTCATTTGTCTCACTCAGTAATGTTCGTTTGCCTCTTTCACAATCTTTTAAAAAAATGCAGAAACTAACAAGCGGCCATCATGTCTATCTCCTCCTTGCTGTCCCTAATGAAGAGGGCAGCCCATATACTGTACTCGCTATTTGAAATCGCCATGAAAGCAAGAGGGAAAAAATTGGGGTTGCTATTAAAATGCCAATATTTGGTATAGTCTTTTAGTTTTGAGCAACGTATGAGTATGAATCGTTACCTTATTATTTACATGGGTTGAGTGATCTTTTGAAGAAAGCCATCATTTTTCGTGGAGATGGATGGACCTGATGAAACCAAGCTTAATCTATTAAGCAGAAAGTCCGTGACAGCTTTTGCGGTTAACATTTATTTTAATCAACTCAAAACAACAACTGCAGATATTCATCGCTTTTGCATGATAAATTCCTTAATGTGAATAAGATTTTATGACCAAACTTTGTGGGGGTTTATTACACTTTAAGGCAAGTATAGCATCAAGTAGAAATAACTGTGTAGCATCAAACTTCATAGTTTTACTTAAGAGCTTTAGGAGTAGATGCATAAAAGGTTTCAGCCAAATTCATTGTGTTGTTCCTGAGAAATAGCGTTAGTAGTGAAATCACTTCCCGGTAAATCTATGAGACATTTTCAAATGTTGAGTGTTTTTCAAATTACATTTTGGGTTCATACATTTTGTCAAAGTATGAATAGCTTCGCTTAATTATTTTCCTTTTGGAAGTCTATCCCTTTTGAAAATGTAACTTTTTTTTTGCCGGTTTGCTAATTAGGGCCTTTAAAAGAGCATTTTAATAATAAATCAGTTCAAAATCGAATTCAGCATCGTCAAGTACATTAATGTATCAATTTGGTAGTGGTGCTGTATTTTGAGAAATTATACTTTTTTACTCTTTGTTGAAGTTGCTTCCTGGACCACACTTTCAATTATCAAAATAACACTCAAGCTTTCGCCAAAGCGGCTGCTTTTCCCGAGAAACGGCTCAATATCGCTGGAACGGTCATCTGAGTTCTTGCTGCCTTGTACTCAGGCTGAAGTAGCCTATCCAACCAAATGGGGTTGTTTGTTTTTAAATCCTATCACATTGCTGATTTAAGTTATGTGAAGAGACTCCCAATGTGATCGCATTCAACGTTATAAAGCTTTAAGAAGTTGAAATATTAGACATGAAAGACAATTGAGTTCACCAATTGTAATGACGTTTAAAGTGATGCATCGTCATTTCACGTAACATAATTAGTAAATCTAAGATTTATTGAATTCTATCTGTAATTTCAAATAAAATAAATTTGTTTTCTTCCTCAAAATTGTGCTCATAGCATGCATTTTGCCTCGATTAAAAATTAACTAATACAAGTGTTTTTTAGTTGAGCACTCATTAATATTAAATCTACCTGAACTCTTCCTCCTTTGACCTGTTATAATGTTAGATGCGAAAAGGCCTGTGACCAGAAAAACACCTTGTAGTTTTCCCATTTAGCTTTGTCCTATTGTAACTTGTGTAAATGAGGACAGCTTAGTGTGCTACGTGCGGCCTGGCCTCAGTGCTCCAAGCTCATTCATCTGCGAGCAGCCTGGCTAGGCAACGTGCCCAGTGCATTCTGCTCAGTGAAGGCTTTCTACCTTTTGAGCAAGGCACTTGATTTCTCTCTCTCATCAGGGTGCTCCAATAGGTACATCATAAAAGAGTTTTCTAGCAGTGAAATGCTTACCTAAGCTAATGATCATGCACTCCGCTGTCTCAATTGTCTGTTAAACGTTTTCTAGAGTCCAGACATGTCTGAGCATGTTTAAATGTAGTGGTGATGCAATGTTGCACTAAAGACAAGTCCAGTACCCGCCCCCGCACTTAAACCCATAAATATACTGTATTTCTACCCTACTGTCTCACTGGTGTATTTTGTACATCTAAAACCTATGGTAGATTCTGCGGTAATTTGAGTCTGTATGTATACTTAGTAGAACCTTTTTTGGTGTTTAGTGCCAACAGGCACTGATAAAAGGCCCTTCTAATTCTAATTCAATTGGCTGTTTTCATTCAAGCTTGTGTCAGCTTTTGTTCTTGCAACGTCACCTAACTTTTAAATCCACCTGTGGCACAATCATTAACTGTTCGTCTTTTTTTCCAGCATTTAGGGTCTTTATTGTTCATTGAAGCCAACCGCCATATGAAGAACGACACAGCCAAAATTAATATTACTATTACTCTTAATAAGTCAGCCAGTAAACTTCAAATACAGCAGAAGCAGAGAAAATTATGTCATAAATATGGGTATTTGAGTTTAAAGAATGGCCTTACTCATCTGAATGTTTTTGAAGGGGAAATTTGTCAACTCCAAATTCCGGAAATGTTGACCGAATCTTCTCTGAAGGCTCCTCCTCATGCAGCCACTACGAACTACATAAACCGTGGTGAATTTGGGCGGGCCTTAGTAATTTCGATTCAGCCATGCATGTTTCCGCTGGCAGCAGAAACGTTAATGCAGGGTTTGTCAGTCACTCGGGAAAGACAAATCAGCAGCCAGCATCAGGCTGGGGCGGGACTTTACTGCATGCACTGCCATGCTATTGGCATTCACAAACAACTGAGCGTAGCATAAGAGCGGCAAAGAAGAAGAGCGGAGCGATATAGGCGACGAAAGTGTGCACTGAAGCAGCCTTTGCTCAGGGCCCGTCTCCATGGAAACAAAGGGCAGATTTGAAGGCTCGGTTGAAAACCTGCGTGAATTTGGACACCGGCGTGCGGTCGAGGCATGCCAGAACTTAGGTCATGTGGTCCACAACTTTGCCCTTTAGAGGACGCAGACGACTCGTTTGGACACAGCCACACTGTGTACTTGATCCTTGCAGAAAATTCAACCCAGGACACCCGTTCTACATCATCGTGAGTGGTGTCGATGAAAAACGTGAACGCACTCAATGCAGTGAAACACCAAAACGGCAGTTCTGCTATCACTCAAAATATGCGAGTGACCACTTTTGCGAGCTGTCCAATGATGGGCACACAGACCTGCTAAATGCGAGTTCTCTGGTTCCTTCTGAGCAATGTACACACTTTCACGGCTATCGGGTCGGTGAGGTGGCCAGGCAACATTCTCACCATCGATCCAAATCTGGCTGCCAAGGTGGGGGAATTTTGGGTTCATTTATTTCCCTGCCACTCCAAATCGTCCCTAGGTCTGAATGTGAGCGTGAATGGTTGTTTGTCTGTCTGTGCCCTGCGAGTGTCCGAAAATCAGTTCAGGGTGTACCCAGTCTACTGCCCGAACACGCCTGCGATAGGCTCCCGCATGCCTGTGACCCTTGTGAGGATAAGCAGATTAGAAAATGGACGGATGGATTAATTACCTGCCACTCACTTTTGCTCATTTCAGCATCTTATCGACGCATGCTTGGCCAACCCAGCTACATTATGGGCAGCCATGGCGGCCTACTGCACCGCTACCCATAACTGTTAGCAACAGTTTGTGACAGAGGGTTTCCTTCTGGTTAGCCTGCAGGATGCTTGCTTTAAATGTTTTTTCTTGTGTGATGACAGCATCCTGTTTCGGATGTTTTGTTGAGTTGACAAAACCCTTGCGGACCAAAACTGAAAATGACGCAAAATTATCAGTCCATCCCTAAATAATACAGTATGGGTGCATTTGGAAATTCACTCTGATGGCCACACACCTCACTCAGGGTGCGTACGATTGGAGAGGTAGAGCGTGCTCCCATACCATTAATTTCCAAACGCAGCCTCTGTTCTAAACCAAGCAGCAGCTTGTGCTTGAACTGTTTCCATCTCTGCTGTCTGATGCACCGTGTCTCCAGTTGGAGCATTAGAGCGCGCACCAGACCTCCGTTTTTGCTGCACTCTGAATAACTTCAAGCAACATTTGAACAAAACGATGATTTTCCAAACGTTCAGAGTGAACCACTGCGCACTTGTAGCTTATTTCCAAACGCACCCTACACAGCACGAGGACTGATCCATGTTGTATTGTTGTTTGGAAGATGCCAATGCCAGGTTTGCTAATTAAAAGTTGAAGTTACATTGTCATTTTTGTATCAAGCACACATTCGACGATTACTTTTGTATTGTTCATTTTGTGTAATAGTAAAAATAATATTTGAGAAATAACATTTGCCTGTACTAGACATGCAGAGTATATTATGTCTAGAATTATTATTTTGTAACAAATCACAGCCCATTATGTTTGGGATTTCAGTTATAATCTGCGATGAATACAACAGAGTGTAACAGTCGGTTGTAATCAGACTAGATGTGTGTGGTTTGGTTATTGTTAGTCTAGCTGCAATCCTCTTTTTGGATTAAGGTAGTTTACTAAAAATTGTTTACACAACAGGAAGAGTTCCAGTTTGCCAATAGTCTTGACTGTAAACCTCTTTTATAGCTATGCAGTTGGGTTTCTGGTTTTATGTAATAGTAATAGTGCATGGTTGCCCTTGAGAGCAACTGAGCTGTCTTTGATGCTGAGAACTGTGCAGGCAATACTGAACATGAGTCATCCGGAAGCCCACACACACACACACACACACACACACACACACACACACACGCGCGCACACACACACACACGCGCGGTACTTATCTGCATCAGCCTCTCCATGCATAGGAATTACAACATTGTCATCAACCTATTAGACATATTGACATGTAGGCTGTTTTTGATAGAACAATCCATACATGTGGTAATCTGTCAAATTTACATTAAGATTTGCAGTAAACAAACACTGGGTGATTTTTGAATTTGTTCATGAAACCTGTAGATGACACTGTACAGTATGTCCTAATGATTGCTCGGTCTTCATTTGATGTGCACATGTCCTGTCCGCGGGACGTATCTGTGCACTTGATGTAAGCAGACTCGCGTCCATCAATGTCCCTGGGAGTGGACAGCTTTTATGTAATTGTTTACATAATATTCTCCACAAACATGGCCCATTTGGCCAAGGTTGTGGGCGGAATATAATCTTGATAGTCACTGTGGGCTGGGATTCTTGCACTCATCTCAACAGCACCCTGACGGTAAACCACGCCGTCCTTATCGGGCATTGTGCTCTTGTAAACGGTGATTATTTTGGTGTATAAAATAGATCATACTGCCTCTACAATAAAGTCAAGGTAAAGTGCTCAGGGTTTTTCTGATCCCCAAAAGATTAAGGGTGGAGGGGAGAGCGGGGGAGGGTGAATCAGACTGGTAGATGAGGGAAAAAAATGCTTAATGCTGCAAATATGTTCAAAAAATGAAAACAAATAAAATTAGTGCATTCATCTGAAAAAAAACTCTGCTTTCACACATTGTATTCAACATTCACCGCCCATTTAATTCCCATACCACTTGCTCTTATCTGAGAGAAAATGTACCCAAGCGTGGGGACATGAACATCAAACAAGAGTCGAACCCCAAAATGTGAGGCAGAAGTGCGAACCACGACTACCCTGTGCTGCCCCTTCCATCTCCCAGTATTTGACACCGCATTTTAATCTTATGAGACATTCTGCCCTAGAGTTAAAGCAGCAGATGCGAGACTGTTTTTAATCATGAAAAATGAACCTGTTGGACTGCTGCTACTGTCAGGATCTGTACCAGGAGACTAAAATACATCAAACGCCAAATACCAGGCATGTCAAGTCATGCACGATCAGCAAAGTCCCATGCAACTAATTAGCTTCATAGGCATTGCCGTTTTCATCCTTTTCTAAGTAAAGTGGCATTCTCTGTCGTTAATGGTAAATTCTAGAATGTTGTCAGCCACGCATGCCAGTTCCAATTAAACGCTGAAATCAGTAGATGTACATGAGCAAACTGATTTATGCTGTACCCAATCTTCACTGGGAATGAGCATGTCCTAACTGGGAATGAGCACGTGATTAAATTCAACTGATCAACTATTGGGAGATAATGGTGATCAATTCATCGATTCATTAATGTTATTTTTGTTCATTGTTTTTAATGGAAAGGGAGAATATCTGCCTGAGCCAATTCGGTTCACAAAGTCAGTTCGTCTTGGCTCAAACTCATTCGTGAGCCTAAACAGGATAAGGGGGAGAGAAATATGGTTGGATAAACTACCTGAACTCCTGTTTCAATATTTTGTATTGAGCAAAATAACTGTGCCAATATGAGTTGCATTGCTCATTGTTCTTCTTTGGATTGGAACAAAGTGGACCTGCTGGCTGCCCGCAGCTGAGTGGTGCACCTACGGTAATTGTACTTGAATTATGCTCATCCCTACTTCTGAAGTCATGTGAAATGAGCATTTTTTCCCCCACAGAGTGGAAGGGAATTTATAATAATAACTTTGCTGCTGTGAATTGGGAATTTCTCCATTGCGAGACTAATAAAGGTTTTCTTATCTTATCTTATCTTAATAGATTTTCAAAATATATAGTCATGTACTATGACTTTCACTCTCCAGATTACCAGATAATCAAATGCCATAATCAAAAGACACTGTGCAGAATCTTTTTTTAATCTATTGTATGTAATCTTTCATTCCAGGTTTTTCGTCAGTCTTCCCTCCCCTGACCGATGTTGAGGCCAGAGTGAGGACAGAAGCGTGTCCAAACCAGCGTTTGTCTCATGAGTGTGTGTGTGCCATCTCGGCACTGCCATTGACTAGGGCTGTGGCCGCGGTGGGCCCGCCCCAAGGGGGCCTTTGTACACATCACACCAGGCCCTCGTTGAACTGTGCTGCTCACGCCATGGATCCACAGAGGGACAAATATGGCGAGCGGCCTGCCAGGAGTACGAAAGTTTCCCAGGGAAGTCGCAGTGGACACACGTCCCGGCCATCGGGCTCCTCAAGCTCCTCTGGGGTTCTCATGGTGGGCCCAAATTTTCGTGTTGGCAAAAAGATTGGCTGTGGAAACTTTGGTGAATTGAAGCTAGGTAAGTAAATCAAAGGGATCAAAGCAATCTCTACAGTAGGATCTTTTGTTAAGTATTTATGGAAGGACGGGACAAAACCTTGTCTTTTCTAATGTTGGTGTGCAGCAGTGAAGATGTAAATAAAACAAGAGTTTGACACGAAATATTTTTTTCCCCTCCCCAGGTAAAAATCTCTACACCAATGAATATGTAGCTATTAAACTGGTAAGTTGACATTTTCTTTCTGGAAACCTAACCTCTGTGTATAAATGGTTGAAAGCAAAATGATTTAGGCTATCGGTGCAACCGGTAGTAATAAGTCCTGCAAGGGTTCATTTGTTGAGCTTTTCCCTCATGCTGCACCTTATTCACTTGATCCCAAAAAGATTGTTGCTAATATTAGTCTGTGCCATTGTTGTAAGACAGGATGCATGTTTCATGAGACAAAGGGATTTGTTAATTTATCCTCAGATGTTACCACGCTGCATGTTTTGTCACCACTATTTTCATAAGCACTTTGCTGTTATGAAGGCTACATACTGGCAAAGTGACTCATGCGTCTTATTCCACACTGGCTGAAGAAACATTGCCAGTGTTCATTTCACCCAGTGACGTAGTTGGTGTGACGTACTTGGCAGTGCGTTGTCTTTCGAAACATCAATGGTTGGTGAAGTCTGTTTTAAGTATACAAAATTTGAAGCTTTATCGCTGAGTTGTCATGTTTGTAAAATACCCTAGAATTGTCCTCAAATACTTGAGTATTCTCGGATTAAACGTGACGTTTGGATTGTTAATGGGCAAAGGTTTGGTGCTGTGACTGACTCTCAATATATTTGACATATCTCTGAAGTCACCTTGTCAACTCGAATGTTGACCGTGTGATTCTGTACTCTTTGTGTCAAATTGGGCACACATACTGTAGTAAGGCTGCAGTCATGCTGAGCCAGTTGTCCCGTATCAGTACTGTAAAGCATGGTCTCCCCCCCCCCGTCCCTCCCATGTAGCTCGTTGGCCCACATTCACACTGTGTTGCACTCCAGCATGGCCAAGCACACACAACACTTTTTTTGTATTATTATACAAAAGAGTAAGTAAGGCCACAGATTAATAAGAGCGCAAAGTTGAACAAAAAGTTGTAATATCAAAAGAAATGTAATTTTCCAATTTCCCACAGAGCTAGATATGAATGCAGGCATCTGAGACCAGCAGGCCTGCCGCATTGTGGGATATATATTTTATTCAGTATTTGTTCAATGCACTTCTAATTGATGATTCAACAAAGCCAACAAAAATCGAAATTTCAGGCTTCATACATTTTCTCAAGCGCACACGCATTTTAACTAATTTAACACTTTAAACTAATGGTATGTTAATACTGTACAATATTTAACTTTAATGCTTGCAATGTAAATGGATTCTTATAAAAATGTTTTTGTTTCCCTCAAAACTATAGAACTCTCCTAATTTTGTTCTTCTTTTTTTTTTGTACAATGCTCTTTTTCATATTGGCCATAATAATTCTTTGTAGGTTCTGATTATAATCAATCGCTGGTGCGCCAATTTATTTCATTGATGACACAGCAGTTCAGTTCTACACAGTGTTCTTGTTGACGAGCAGTGGAAGTAGTCTGTGCTTGAGCAAGGGTACACAGAGCGTTCCCTCCAAGCGTGCTTGAATTCTATACAGATTGGCAAGTGTGACTTGGCCCTTTATGCCAATTTCCAAATGGAAGTAGTCAATGCATTTCCTTATTTTTGCTGACTTTAACTGTAAAATTGTCTCAGGCGGACTGCTTCTTTGCCTTTTGTTTTTGCACAGGAACCCGTAAAGTCAAGGGCACCGCAGTTGCATTTAGAGTACCGGTTCTACAAAACGCTGGGAACTACAGGTAGGTGACAGTGACAGATTTGGCTGGTGTGTTTTGGTTTCACTGGTCCGTGTATTTGTTGTCATATGTTGGCTGATTGTATATTTACATAGCAGGTGATTATCCATAACTCAGTGTTGGGATGTGATATTCCAACAGGTTTAGCAACGTACTTCTGTTTTCAGGAATGTGTGTGTCTGTATTCTTGTGCGCTTCTAAAAAAGAATACGGTAATACGTTTGGGACAAAATAGGAGGTGGGTGCAATTAAAAAGAAGTGGAATAAAGTTGTGCAATTAATCAAATACAATGTTCAATCTTTACATCGATTGAAATAAAGTATCCCTTTTGTTATTCGGACTAAAAAAAATGTGTCACAGGCATTGAAAATCTTCCCTGTCAGTATTTTGTGGATCAGAGGTAACTTAATCATGATGTCATATTTCCAATTCTGGCTGAGCATAACATACCATTCATAATGCCTGAAATATTCTGTGGTGACATGTGTCTGCAATGACACAAATTTGTTGAATCAGACAGTGGCCCAGAAATATACATCTTGTCCCAAAATGTAATGATGCACCAATGGTCTGAAGTCTTGTTTCAGAAACAAGCTTCACAAAAACAAATTAATTTGGAAACAGAACATGGATTTATTAACACCCATATTGTCACCCATTAAAATGGACACAACGTGTTGCTTATCATCATATTCATATGGTTCTGTAGTTCTGAGATGTTTTATTTGAAATTAAAAAAAAAAGAGTTCATGGAGGCTTCAGAATAAAGCATTGTCACTGTCAGTGATCAAACATTGGCTATGTGACAACAAAAACACCTATGTGCCAAACTTCGTGGTGTAATATTAAGTTAAATTTCAATTCAGTCTAATCCACCGCAAATTTTGGAAAGGAGAGACAATTGGTTCCTCGAGGAATCTGCAGAGAAAAAGTATTGACTCAGTGGAGAACAATTCTGATTTTGCAGAGAGCAAATACTGATTGCGGAGCCTGAAAGATGAGTTTCCACAGCATTGAAAAAAAAAACCAACCTAAAATGACCAGTTATAAAGCAAATTTATGTTGTAGTTAATATTAATGTTAGTAGACGTCTCTGTTATATGACGTCGTATTTATTGGACGTCCCCATGAAATGAAGACAATTAAAAATGTCTCCTCATTTCCCTGTAATAATTCCACCACCTCCCGCGTCGCGCCCCCACACGTTGCATCTTATTTCCTTCCATAAACACTGCCACGTGTCGTCAAGTTTTGTGTGTGGTACTCGACGTGCTTTGTGCGCGTACTTGTCACATCACAGATGCGGTCAGTTAACAGGACGCATTTGTTTTTGTCATGAGAACATAAAAAGACTGGATTTAACAAAAAAGATCAGAATTCAGAATTGTGCATCTCGCCCTGCAGTGTGAATGTAGCCGGTCTGACCGGGATGAAGACAAACGTGAATGTAATTTTCTGCCCTCATGGCCGCGGACTGCTTTCAATTCCGCAGAGAGCTTTGAAATGTGCGGAAAATTCCGCGGTCACGGAATCGCGGATTCCTGCGGGGACTCGACAATAGTCCAAAAAAACACAACCGAAACTAACTGGCATCTAATGGTTGTGGTATCAGTGCACTGGCATCCATGAATATAACGCTGCCAAACCATACAAGGGTATATTCTTATACAGAAGTCTACAGCAGTATGTCATTTTCAAATCATGTGTGTATTGCTTGTACTCTATATGAACAACAAAGACGATTTTAAAATACATTTTATAACATTAAATAGATTAAACAATCAGCATTTATCAAAATAAAAATATTAAAGAAAAAAATCTGATGTTTATACTGTTGTCATTCATATTTTTCATTTACAGTACTCTGGCCTAAACCCCACAAGCACATTTTAAAGTCTGAGGAAATCTCATGTGGTTGACTTTAGTCACATTGATAAATGATGCCAACCTTTGACGTTAGGGGGGTGGGGGGGAAATACAAGTATGTTTTTTTTTAACAATAACAAAACAGAAAATCCCTCGTCATTGGGGATTACGTTATGTATATGCAATAAAGTGAGGCGGTGATTAAACATTTATGGTATATGGTTTCACTGTCATAACAGCCCTCCAAGCGAATCTGTAACTGCAATGCGAGCCGCGACAAAAACGATCTTGAAACTCCTGATTGAAATGACACAATCCATTTTCCGATCCGCTTTATCCTCACAAGGGTCGCGGGGGGTGGTGGAGCCCATCCCAGCCGTCTTCAGGCAGTAGGCGGGGGACACCCTGAACCGGTTGCCTGCCAATCGCAGGGCACACACAGACGAACAACCATCCGCACTCATATTCACACCTAGAGACAATTTAAAGTGTTCAATCAGCCTGCTATGCATGCTTTTGCAATGTGGGAGGAAACCGGAGGACCTGGAGAAAACCCACGCAGGCACGGGGAGATCATGTAAACTCCACACAGGAAGGCTGGAGCCAGGATTAAACCCATGACCTCTGCACTGTGAGGTTGACACGCTAACCATTGGACCATCGAGCCGTCCCAGCTGTAAATTGCCATTTTAAATAATTTTCTTGACAAGTTGGAAAAATACACTTGGAATAGCGACGCCATAATTTATCGAATACCATGCACACACATTTTATATGCAGTCCAAAAATTGCCCTTCAAAAGCTGATTTTTCTTTGTACCGGTACTCATATTAGACACTCCCCTGATTTCCCCTGAAGTATTATCCACATCGTAATTTGTATAGATTTTTTTTTTTTTTTGGTGTGTGTTGAGGCAACATTGTTAACACTGGAGCCTTCGACCAGGCTGCCACCACCCCTGATATGACACACAAAGCCCTCTCGTGTGATCACATGTGATTTCCTAAAACCAAAGAATGGCAAAATGTCCTGAATAGGTGCCAGTGTTTACCAATTGGTGAGATTGTGGTGAAAAACTTGCTTTGGAAAATACTTGTTGCCTTTTTTGGAAACCAACTAGTATACAAAAGGTGGCATCAGCCAAGACATGTTTTTTTTGTTTTTAACTTATGGCTGTTTCCTTATTCCTAGCTGACCCGTTTTATATTATCCATTACGTATCACATTAGAATGAAAGTGCACATCTTTTCCACAACCTCGAGGTACTGGTAAACATCTATACAATGTAATGATTTTTTGGTAATTTTGCATGTACTCGTGTATAATAGGCTCACCATCGATTTTCAATGAATAAAACCGACTGCTGTCAGGCTGCTGAATAAAAAAATAAAATGATGTGGAAGACAATTGTAAATAGCACTGCGACCTTATCCATATCTGTATTTATATTGCACTTAATTGAACGGTGTTTGTTTTCTTTTCTTCTTTCTTCTTTCTACCCATTATCTTGCTGCTGTGGACTGTAAATTTCCCCATTGTGGGACAAATAAATCTTAATCTTAAAAACAAGAACGTGTTCTCGAAATTACGCCACTCAGATCCAATCTGTTGGAACAAGAGTAAGGGAATTTGTTGGTGATGCAGGGTCTTTGCAGTTTGGATCTCCTACATGCTCGTGATTGTTTTGCAAAGACAAGGCATAGAAAAGGGCAACTGTGTGGAAATTCATTAAATATTTAGAGAGTGGGTCTGCCTTTCTTAGTACTAATCTGACTCTCATCTCTCCTCCAGATGGGAGAATGTGACATCATTGCAGCTCCTCATACCACACAGCAAATTCTGTTGTCATAGTGCCCGTGGGTCTTTCAGCATGAATGTGCATTGACTCATGTCCAGTCAGGTGTTGTTTTCTAACTGTAACCAACTGTCATTGGATACTGATGAGGGTTACTCTCAGGGATTTTTCAAATCTTTTCCAAACATGTGGGAACTGTTTGTCCATACAATCCGTAACTAGTAATTTTGCTACCATGTTTTCACAACACTGCACAATTTGGGGTAATGGTTGAGAGTATCATTGAAGGTCAGGTGCTCTGTGAAAAAGGTTTTTGCAGGCATGAAACATTATATCAGCTTCTTTTCCACTGCGAGGACAGCTTGAAACACTCCTGCACTCACAGCGCTCATATTGACCAGATCTTAAATATTGTAGATGAAAAAGAAGAATAATCTGATTGCCCAAGTGATTTTTTTTCATTTTTTTAGCAAGAATGCAGCAGTTTTTCACTTCCTTAAATTATTTTTAAATCATTTTTATTTGATGGATGTGCACAAAATAGCCTTTAGGTTTTGACATAAATTACATAAACGTGAAAAGAATGAAAATGAAAATTGCAATGTTCATATTTATTCACCCCCTTTTTTATGAAGCCCCTAAAAAGCTCTGATCCAATTAAAAGTCAGATGCTTGAAGAGAAGAATCAAAGTGTTACGGTATACCTGCACACACGTGGACAAAATTGCTGGTACCCCTCTGTTAATGAAAGAACAACCCACAGTGCTCTGTGGGGTTGGGGGTTGTAATATCAGAGGTGCTTGTAATTGTGGCACGCATGATTTGATCTAAAATATGTTTTCTTAATGCGGGATTTCTGCCTACCTACCCACCCACCTACACCTGAATAAATACACTTAAATTAAAGATTGAATTTTCGTCCACACCCCCTTTTTTGGGGAGGGGGCTATATTATTTGGGGGCAAAAAAATAATTTATTAGAACCTTAAAAAACATCTTAACCAGGGGTGGCAATAATTATGGAGGTCAGTGTCGTACATCTCATCACCCTAAGAACAGTATCTCGCTAGTGACACTTGGAAGCATCATGCTGTGGAGATGTTTTTCAACAGCAGTCTCTGAGAAACTGCTTAGCCTTAGTCAAGGGAAATATGGTTGGTGTTAAATAAATACTGGTGATATTCGTCGGTAAAAGGTCCTAGTCTCAAAGTGATCGTCAGAGATGAATGAGCTCGAGAAAACTTGAGACACTTTTAGGAAAACCGCAGAGAAACTATTAATTTTCTCTCAAGACTTAATGTTGTCCTTAGTCATTATAACATTGTCTCAAAAGGTTTGAGTGTCCATTCGTGTACTATTAGAAATAATGCGTATTCACATGTAGAAGGCACTGGGCTTTCTCTTGTCGATAATGATGGGTCTACTGTGCTTATTTTTCGTTAGTTCTTTAAAAGTCCATTTTTTTTCTGTTGAATAACCATTCATCCACTTATTTACACCATCTCCAAGCCGACACATTTCAGGCCTCCCACAGACATGAGGTGCCTGTAGTACAATTAGCAACCCACAGCATTGGATAATAGTGTCCAGATACGCAGCATGGAGCGCGGCATGACTCCTACTTGTCCATATGCTGGCAAGAGCATATAGTGCGCTGCCGTTCCTTTGTAGGCATTACTGTTGTATGCCACAGCATGAACACTGTTGATTTAGAAAATGACAGTTCACTCAAGATGCGTATACACTTGCAAGAAAAATAATGTGCACCCGCTAGATTTACCTCAGCTTCTGCCTCAATTGTTGCTAAAATGTGATCTTATCTTCATCTAAGTTGCATCAAGAGCACTTTGCTTTTTTTACACACAAACAATTAAAGGGTTAAAGTACTCAAGTGCCGTGCCAAACTTACGGCGTAGGATTTATTTTATCTTTTTAACAAGGCCAGCTGTGTCTGTGAGGGTCTACGTGAGTGTCTGACTGAAGTGCTTCTACAACTTCAAAAGGGTAAATCCACGAAAAGTTTGCAATACTGTACTGTTGTAGGGCTGGGTACCAAAGTTGGCACTTCTTTTGGTACTGCCGAGTATTGATTCTTACAAAATCAAACGGTCCCATGTTTATGTAGCAAAGTGGCTCCGTTGGACTGAGCGAGAGTGGAAAGAGTTGGCAATTTTCCATGGTGCACGCACAAGGACATCATGATGTTACTCAGTTGCTGCTGTTTGCTTCTCTGACAACGTGTTTGTATGTGTTTTAGCCGAAGGTGTGCCGCAAGTATTTTACTTTGGACCCTGTGGGAAATACAATGCCATGGTTCTGGAGCTCTTGGGCCCAAGTCTGGAGGACTTATTTGACCTATGTGACAGGACCTTTTCATTGAAGACTGTCCTAATGATCGCAATTCAGTTGGTGAGTTGTTTCCAATCTCATATGCGCTTCAAAAAGGCACTTCAGTCTTTGGCCCTCGTCTTTCTGTTTTTACACTCTGACTGACATGTATCCTTTGTCTCCAGATATCTCGAATGGAGTATGTGCATTCTAAAAACCTCATCTATAGAGATGTAAAACCTGAAAATTTTCTCATTGGACGGCAAGGGAATAAAAAGGAGCACATTATCCACATTATTGACTTCGGCTTGGCCAAAGAATACATCGACCCCGAGACCAAAAAACACATTCCATACCGGGAGCATAAGAGCTTGACTGGCACTGCCCGCTACATGTCCATCAACACGCATTTAGGCAAAGGTACACAAGGCTATCCCAATTCTTGGCTTTATTTTGAAGTTCTCTCAAGCTGTGTTTCTCAATTGTTGTCTTCCTGGCACCCACATATTTGTGTTGTTGCGAAGTTGTGACCCACTTTTATCTAAGTTAAGAACAATAAAGCATGTCTTATTCAAAAATAGCCTCTGAAGATACATGTACGGCAAATAATTTCAAACACCTTCAAATGAATCTGACAATTCCACCAAAAGCATATTTCTTGCAATGATGCCTGCTAAGCAAAGGCTGAGCTGCACTGTAATTTTTACCGGGTAAACTAATGACTCGAGCACAAGTGAGTAACATTTCCTGTCACTTACCCAAATGTGTTCTATGTGGGAACTTTGTATGCCTCTGTATCGCCCGCACCCACTCCCCAAAAATATTCAAATACACTTTGTTTCCTAGAACTGTTTACTAGGTGACCGTAACCCACCAAAAATGGGTGCACAATCCACTTTTGGGTACTGAACCACCAGTTGAGAATCACTGCTGTAAAAGAGTTTGATGTCAGTTGGTTTGGCTCTTGAAAATTGTTCATCAGAGAAAGTTTTTAACTCTTGATTTAGAGCAAAGCCGAAGAGATGACCTGGAAGCCTTAGGTCACATGTTCATGTATTTCCTTCGTGGGAGTTTGCCGTGGCAAGGGCTCAAGGTAACATATAAAATAGTTTTTGTTTTGTTTTGTTTTTTCACATGTCCAATGGAATGTTTTTCAATCTACTCATCCAAAATGGCTTCAAAATGGGGCTGTAAATATCGGTCTCCAGAAAGAATATTAAGAGCTTCTTAGAATGCCTTTATAAGTAATTGTTTTGAAAATACAATGTCAGTATCCCAACTTGACCCAAATACTTTGTCATCTTATGAACAAAGAATTGAGATATACCAGTTCCTTTGAATCTGAATTTTTCATTGTATCCAAATTTTTGAGGGCAATTCTATGCTTCATAAAGCATGAACGATTTATAGAAGGCCTTGGTGTGAGGCCCATAACTGTGTGAATGCTTGGAGGAGAATGGTATGAAGAACAAATGACCCCTGACCCAATCCCATGTAGCACCTTGGAGGTAAACTTGAATAGAAATGAAATAAAAAATACAAAAAACGAATTCCCGAAAATTCCCAGAGACAAAAGAGCTGTTATATTTAGGCGTGTCGGTATGCATACATTTGGGTGACCATCCAAACATTGTTACCCTGTGGTAGTCCATACAACTGCTTCATGTCATGAGCTCGATATGTGTTGGATCTCCCGCAGGCTGACACACTGAAAGAGCGATACCAAAAGATTGGAGACACTAAACGAAACACTCCCATCGAGGTCCTGTGTGAGAACTTTCCAGGTATTTTGCTGAATTTACCAGTGTAATGCTAATCCACAGAGCCGTTAATCATTCATTTATCAAACATATTTGGCAGTTGTGGAAATAATATGGATAAAGATGATAGAATTTATAGGTCACCACAAGCACCGCGGCATGTTGTATACCTGTCTTAATTCACAACTTGTGATGTTGTTTCATTCAGAGGAGATGGCCACCTACCTGCGATATGTAAGACGGCTAGACTTCTTTGAAAAGCCAGACTATGAATATTTGAGGACTTTATTCACTGAATTGTTTGAGCGCAAAGGATACACCTTCGACTACACGTACGACTGGGTTGGCAGGCAGATTGTAAGTAACACATGTCAAATGTGAACTGGAATATCACATCCGATGCATGTTTAGGACTTCTCGCTTCCCTTTAGCCCACACCAGTGGGATCTGTCCATATAGACTCTGGGGCATCTGCAGTCACGAGAGAGAGCCATCCCCACAGAGACCGGACCTCCGCACACCCACCAATAAGAAATCAGGTATGGAAGCTTTTGTATTTGGGACGATACGCGTTTAGCTTGGTGCACTCAAGTGCACATATGGCTACAGCAATTTCTATTCAGAAAATAGAAAGGTACGCTAAAATGTTAATTTGATGGGAATTAATATTGAGAGAGAAACAAACCTAACTACTAATAAGAAACGTGTCCACCAGCGGGTTCAGGGATTGCTGCCATGACAGGCACCAACCACCTGACTGCCACAGCTCCAATAGCCCACCTCAACAATGGAGGCGCGGAACATGGTCCACTTGGACTCACTGTCTGTCCCCCGGTCCCCCCCTGGGATATTCGGTGTAGTTCAGCCGGAGGTGGGAATTGAAACTCTTTTCTGACAGGAGATTCTACCAGACGTTCGCAGCGAACCCTTACAATACATTTGGGTCTGCGAGGTTTCCCCCCACCATCAGAGCCACCACACCACCAGATCAATTTATAGCTCTGCCACTTTCTTCACCCGAGTGTGCAAAACATTCAGCCACAAATCCCATTACACAACCATGAAGTCGAGCATCGAACTATGGCTCCGGGTGTCCTGGTGTCCAAGTGCACATATGGACATGTTAGAACATGGTGTTCATTATGGACAATCTATGACGAGCACAGAAGTCCAATAACAGAAAACCACTTGGGCTCCGATCGGGTGTGTGTGTGTGTGTGTGTGTGTGGGGGGGGGTCCTCCCAGCCACACCCTTCCAGGTCTCACCGTCATTTCCCACATGAGCATTGTAGTCCTCCAACAGAACTAGGGAGTCCCCACACCTGACTCCAGAGGGGGGCCCCGGCAACTCTCATCCGGGCATGGGAGAATGTTTTATTCATCATAGGGGTCTTTTGAGCCTTGCCTTTGTTTGGTCCCTCACCTTGGACCTAAGCTCCAGACAACTTAGCTCCTAGGATCATTGGGACACACAAACCCCTCCACCGTGGTAAGGCGATGGCTCATGGATCGGAAGCTGTTGAATAGCTCAGTTCAAGCCAGTGTAATTAGGTACGGTATGTTTTTTTTTAAACACTTTCCACATGATGTGACAGTAGTATAGTTTAAAAGTAGCGTACAATTTGAGTGGTGTGGAAGATTGAAACTGATTAGACAGCTGTCAAATGTTGAAATCAGTTCTCACTGAGTTGACCACGCTGCCATTGTATTTATTTTGATTACAAAATGTCTTCATAAACAATTAGGTTTTGTTTTCTGAAACACAGTAGATGGTTGATCATTGGTTCAGCAAGATTTTATTTTATTTTTTGCTGAAGCAGAAGGCAGTTTTTGACCATTTGTTTGGTCTCTGGCACATTTGTTTCAGTTCTCTGGCTGGTTATTAATCTTGCTTGGTTTGATTTGACTATTATTTTGTTGTTTTGGTTGTTCTCCGATTTCCATGGTGCTTGCATGAACCTAGCCTGGCACACTTGAATACCCATCTTTCCTAATGCAACTGTTCCATCATCCCTCCCTCTCTCATTGCTCCCCCAAACCTACTTCTCCCCCGTCACTCGGCGTCCCCAACTCCTGAGCAGACAGCAGTCTCTGATCGACGAGGAGCATGGGAGGTGCAGCCCTCTCGCCAAGCAAACTCCTCCTACCTGACCTCTCACCTAGCAGCGGACAGGCACGGGGGCTCAGTGCAGGTATACACCCCTCACCTGATCAGCCCGTCACCCGATCCAAGTCTGATGCCTCAGATCTGTCTTATAGCACCTTGGTGGCATTGTCTCAAATGCACAGGTGGCCTCTCAACAAGAAGCACCTAAAACCTTCTTATATTAGCCTTGATAATTGATGAGAATTTTAATAATTGTGAACCAAAGTATAATGAAAATGCTTTTGCTTTCGTGCATCATTTTTCATCATTGTCATAGAAGAAACTGGTTTACAGTAGGACAGTTTCACAGATTAATTTCTCTCCATAAACTGAGAAAAGGAAATTACTCGTCGAAATTGATCACAGATGATGCGGTCTTACACACGCCGTGGTCTTGTCATTCGAAATGTTCTAATGCATAGTGTGTCCCATTTGGTCAATGAGGTGTATGAGACAGATCTATTGTCATGTCCTCCCAAACTTGTGTGCCTCTGGTTGGTGAATGCCCCCCCCCTCCCTCCACACCACCATATGCATGTCATCATGGTGCCTGGCCCCACGGACAGTGATGATGCCACGTAGCAGCAGATTTTATTTTTAGGTCTTACTGTACTCGTCATGACATCTTTGCATACCTCGTGAAAACACGAAGCTTCTTGCATGGCAGGATGACCCGAATTAGTGCTTACTGTACTTCTGAAATACAGTAGGAAATTGAAGCTGGATTACACTCCATTCCAGGATGTTGGTCGACCTCCGATTTGTACAGCTTTCCAAAAAAAAAATTCGATCAGAAACTGTGAAAAATAATTGCAGGGTCAAACTGTTGTCATCTTAATGTTAACATTTAAACCATAATGACGATACAAATGCAAAACAAGCTGAAATACATAAGGCAATGTTTAAGCACAACTATTAACAAGGAAGAAGTAAAAGTCATTGCAATAATTCACCTCACACACAAAATATTTTTTTAATACAGAAGTATAAAAATAAGAACCTTGAATTTGATGTATAATGCTCGGACGCCGCAACAGTTAAACGTGACTTGATTTTGTGGAGCGGATATTCTTTCGTCCATTCTTTTCTGAACACCTCATGTCCACGTGGGTTCTTCTTTTGAAACAATGACAGTACAAGCTAGAAAAAGCCAAATAAAAAGCAAAACATGAAGAGGTTTAATGGTCACAAAACGGATCTCGATTCAGGGATGCTAACGTCTTTTCGGATGTCACAATTGAATACTGTTCGACATAGATTTTTGAGGAACTTCTTTCTTTATGTTGATCATTTACTACGTAGTCTGTTGAATTTCAAATTGGGCCTGAATTATTAAAAGTTTGCACGTGCAAAAACAGCCACCAAGTTGATTGCTCACGCAAACAGATCTCAATGCTGATCGAGGAACCATGACCAGGATCGTGCTCGCTAAATGCACTGATAGAGGCCATGCAGTTCATTTTGTGCATTGGTAGCGTATATGCAAATAGATGAATTCAGCACATGTATTGTGATTTATCAGACCTGAGATGAAATACAATGGGTGATTTTGCGTCTTTAGTGCAGCAGTTTCTCGGGCGTACTCTCCCATGTTTTAACTGTGCGCGCGTGCGTGCGTGTGTACATTCTAAAATCGGCAAATAAAAATGAATCACGTGAAATCGGGACTTTGAAATATGAACGTTATAGGAGTGGAAACGTAAACGGGTACCTTCAAGAGGTTCGACTGTACAGAATGCATACAAAACAGTACAAATTTACTCAAGTGTGTTTGTGACTTTTTTTTTTTATAACAGGAAAAACAAAGAATTCAAAATACCCATCAGTGCCATACAACATTATGAATGCTGTATGTGTTCAGCCACCTAGTGAGGCATACTGTTCTGACTTGATTTTTTTTTTGTCATGAATTGAACCATTTCTGAAACAGTGTAACTTTCAGTTAATCTGCATAATCCCACCCAGTAATGCAGTGCGCCTTTTGTTTTATTGATGTGCGGTTTGCTCTTTGCTACTGTGAGACTGACCCTTGTGCAAAGCAGTGCGGTCGCAATGTTGCATTGTCTTCGCCCGCTGAAATCACCGCTGGGTTCACGCTGATGCGGGCGAACATGTTAGCTTGTACTTGTGCGGTCGAGAGCACAAGCGGAAAGATGTGATGTGAAGATGTGTGTGTCTGTGTGTGCCACAGGTGGTCAGCTCAACCAACGGGGAGCTGAATGCCGACGATCCGCTGGCAGCTCATTCCAATGCGCCGATCACCGCCCAGGCAGAGGTGGAAGTGGTCGACGAGGCCAAGTATGTGTCATGCAGCCGCACCGCTTCTCTTCCTTGTCCTTATGCTGCCTCCTCTCTTTCTTGCTCTTCCTCTCCACCTCGTTTTGCTTTGCTCTCGCTGCCTTTTGCCATGCCGTGGAACTGTTGACACCCTTCATCTTGAGCCAACCGCTTGTATCTTGTTTAACTGTGTGGCTTGCTCATCTTTGACTATTTGTCCATCAGATTTTCATGTGATTCTACTCCCCCCACCCCCCCTCCCAAACATAACACACTTATCGTGTGAAGTCTGAGGTGTTCATTTTCAGCTTTGAACACTCCCCCCAATGTTTTGCGCTTCTTGCCTCAATGGTGCTACTTCCTTACATATGAGAACCGTTGTGCTTGTTAGGTGGAACATCTGACTGAAAGGGAATGACTGCTTATTTATTCAAGTCGAAATGCAGATATTAATGTCACCCTGACTCAACTTATGAAGAACGACGTTTGTTAATATAAAATACATCTGGCAAGTATTCACGGCGCTCCACCTTTTTTGACATTCAACAGTCTCATTCCAAAATACTGGGAATTCAGTTTTTCCCCATCATAATTCTTCACGCAACATACTTCAACACTTCATAACAACAATATGGGAAAACAAGTGTTTTTTTGGGGGGGGGGGGTGGAATTGAAAAGAAATCGCAAGTATTCACAGCCTTAGCCGTGTATCCCTCAGTTGGGCTCAAGTGCATCGTGTTATGAGGTTCCTACAGCCTTACTGGAGTCCACCTCTGGTAAATTCACTTGATTGGACATGATTTGGAAAGGCCCACACCTCTCTATAAGCTCCCACAGATGATGGTGCATGTTAGAACACGAACCAAGCATGAAGTCAAAGGAGTTGTCCGTCGACAGCCAAGACAGGATTGTCTCGAAGCACAAATCTGGAAAGGGTACAGAAAAAAATATATATATACAAAGCAGCATCATGAAGTTGAGATGATTTTTCACCGCTAGGACCTGGGAAACGAGTCTGAATAGAGGGCAATGTACAGACATCCTTTTTCACATTGTCATTATCGGGCGTTGTTTGTAGAAATTTGAGGAGGAAAAATAATTGATTTCATTTTGGGATGAGGCTGTTACATAAGAAAATGTGGAAAAAGTGAAATGCTGTGACAATTTTCCAAGCGCGCTGTCTCATATCTTCCAATCTGCTCCAAGAGACACCTCTTGGTGGGGCTTCGGTGAACTGCACTGTAAAAAGATAACGTAGCACGTACACATCTTCCTTCAGCACTGGGGCTCAAAATACCAAAATGACTTCTAATATCAACTTCTAAAATAAATTGGGCGACCTTCATTTCAGTAAATTACATATAACGGTGGCATCCCTTCCCTACTGGATATCAAAAGATTCAACAGAAGATGATTTACTTTCTATGAATCGCACTCATTTGCACTCGTTTCTATTTTTGTGTAATGATGAGCCGCCCTCCAGTGGTGTCCATTCACTCGCTTGTTTGATATGATGATTGGCGTCGTGGCTGGCAGGTACTTTGATGGCTCCGACAGGACTCATGCTGCTGCCAGCTAATTAACAGTGAATCGCAGTGAAATGGCGCTGCACATAAATTTCGACACTCCTGGAAGATGTTGTGCAGTAGATCTACAGAACAGAGCACCAGATTTTAGAAGATACCACATGACCTAACGCGAATACAAAATCATGCGCAATATGCTTGGCGATTCGTTTCTGACGGGTAAAATACTGGACATCAGCACCCCCATCAATACTGACATGACAGAAATTCTGTGGCTTTCTGAATCTGATGAAATGGGACCGTTTTTGTGTACGAGTAATTTCTGTTGTAGAGGAGGAAAAAGAAAAATTTTTACTGTTGAGTTTCATCCACAAGTCTCACACAGTAGTGGCGTGGCAGTATTTTCCACCGTGGCTTTTTTGGCGATTTCCTTACATGATGCAGTGAATCAGACCTCATGGTCAATAATCGAGCCATTTTTAACATTGCGCACATAGCCTTGGCATTCCACCCAAATGTACCGTGATGGGGGAGTGGAAGTGCTTGGTAAAAGTGGAAAGGACACAATGAGATGATTATGTTATCACAGGAGTGGTCCAAAAGCATTTTCAGGAAGCATTTCACTTTTTCCTGATGGATTCAAGACTCGATAGCGGAAGCTGAATTCATGCAGATGCAGTGAGAAGTCACTGACTTCTCTCGACCTCCATCTCAGATTTGAAATGTTTGACCCGTCTTGTGTTTCCACCACACGGTGTGTAGGAGGCGTGGCGATAGCCGCGTCACCGACATAACATGTGTGACATCATGGCAGCACGCCGCAGTGTTACCTGCCAGTAAAATTCAAATCGACGTCACCGACATAACATGTGTGACATCATGGCAGCATGCAAGATGAGGAGCCGCGTGTGTGGGTGAAGGCGTTTGTCCTCTTCTCGTTTTGTCGTTCACATAAATCCGGTGGATGCTGAATCCAATGCTGTAATGTGAACTTCCAGAGATTCTGTAACCAATCCAGAACTAGCAAGTGGTCTAGTTCCTTGTCGTACCCCCCACCCACCCCCTGCCCACTGTGCGTGTCTGTTCATGTCCGTGCGTGTGTGTGTTTTGCACGCGCTCTGTCCTCATCATCTTGTTCTTGCTGTATTAATCTTTCTTTCCTTTGTCTTTACACTCTTTGTTCTCTCTTCTGTAGCTGCGTGAAAATGCTCAACCTGTGGTGAGTCCCTCTCTGCTCGTCCACCTCAGCCTCATGGGACAGGGAGTGGATCAGCCTAGGCTGGGCACAACCCACTCGTTGGGTTTTGAATCTTAACTGAACTGATTGGAGCACCTTGACATGTGGCCTATGGCGTATTAAACGCGAGGAGTGGCGACTTGAAACGCGTCAGAAGACGTGGTCCTTTTTGTTTGGCTCCAGGGTAAAGGAGTTAGCGTATTTTCCGCACTATAAGGCGCTTCAGATTATAAAACGCACCTTCAATGAATGGCCTATTTCAAAACAGTTTTCAAATACATAGGTTGCGCCGCATTGTAAGGCGCATAGAATAGAAGCTTCAATAGTAGCTGCGGTTGCACTTTGCATCCACTAGATGGTGCTACGCTGAAGGGAATACAACACAATTCAATGCAGCTTTCTTTATGTAGAGCCTTCACAACCACTGCAGCTGTAACAAAGCCATGAGAACTGGTAACAAACACGGACATGAAACGTATAAATACAAATGTCATAACAAAACAAATGAACGAAAAGTTATGAAGACAATTAATTAAACAAAAAGGCACACAAACCTTGTGGGCTCACATCCACAAGGGGCTGAATATCCTTAGAAGTCTTGCTTGTCTCCTTCTTCCTTCGTCTAGTCAGTAGTTAACTATGCTTGTCATATTACCTTCATTTTATTATTGCTGCGCAGAGCTCACAAAGTAGTTGTCTGAGTGTCGGGCAGAACCCTTTTAGGTTGTAATTGGTTCCTACAAATAATCACCACTAGATGGCACAGGAACACTAACAGGGAAACAACTCAATGGGGACGAGAAAGACAATTAGTCTCTTTTTATTAGGCGCATCGGATTATCGGGCGCACTGTCGGCTTTTGAGAAAATTGAACACTTTTAGGTGCGCTTTATAGTGCGGAAAATACGGTCAGCCTTTTGGAACGTGAGCATTACAACGAGAGGACCTAGCCATGTCATAATCTACAACTTTGTTGTCTCTGTGTTTATTTATTGAACCACTGGCTCATCGTGTCTTGGCTCTTTGTGTGCACTCCTCTACATTCTTTCCCTTGGACACTCTTTTTTTTCCCCCCCTTTGAGTTGTTAAAATAATATATTTAGAAGTTATTTTGACGCAAACGAGCCAAAGTAATTTTCAGCATACACTGTGGATCATTAAATTGGAAATATGCAGCAGTAATAAGCTCCTCCTTGGCGGCTATATCAGTCTGTCTTGTCGTTCATCGCAAATGTGGTTGATTGCTTTGTAGTCGGGCTTCTGTGCTACTTATACACCAAACGGATACAAGCAATGCCGTATTGTGCCTTGCCTTGCGTACTGGGAAATAGTCATCCTGGAGCAGAAAAAAAAGGGCCTTCCCTCAATTGTTGGCACAAATCTGGAAGCCAGCTAAACTCAAATTAGGACGTGAGATTCAGGGGGGATATGAAAGGGTCATGCCGAACACCAGATTGATGGCTAAAGAGTTTTCTTTTGTCCATATACTGAACCAGTATAAGCGCTGCCGTTGTTGCATCATTTGCCTAACTGTTAGTTGAATGTGTGTGTTTCTGTCCGCAGGTGCTGCTGCTTCTTCAAGCGAAAACGGAAGAAGAACACACCGCGACACAAATGATGGTCAACGGGCAGTTCAGTTGATTGTGCTGTCAGAAATCAGTGAGGTTCCATTCAAGCGCAGGGAAAGGAGAGCCCACCATGGCGCCGTTTTCTGAAAGGACCAGCGAAATGTTTTTGGCACACTTTGCTCATTTGCTGGGAATCTTTTTTTTTTTTCCCCACCTCCTCATCCAGGATTTGCGGGATAACATTGTGTTGAAACTTTTGCAAAGCGTAATTTTGCTCCAGGTGCATTTTTCTCCTTTCTGCATCTTGTTTTTTTTTTCTTCCTCCTCCTGTCATTTATGATTGATCGTTTGACTCGCTGAATCATATTTCATTTCCCCGTCGCTAACTCTTTTTGATGAAAAATCCCATTGTGGGTATTCCTGACGTGGGACTGAATGTAAAGCATGACACATGAGGAGCCAAGAGCATAAACCGCTTGCATTAGCTCCTGCACTTTCTGCCTCCAAATAGGTGAGCCGTGGGACCGGAGAGCACAGGACACCATACACGCGCGCACACACACGCACACACCCCTCCTGCACTGTGCTCTCAGAGGAGGATCTCTGCTCCGGCTCCGAGGTCAAGTGCCCCTCTCGACACACTACAACCCTCCAGACTCTTGCCCTGTTTTGTGAACACTCGGAGTTGGGCTGAAAAGAAGAAACTATTTATGATATTTATCTCTTGGTTGCCACCAGTTTTCTTACTAATTCTCCCAACATACACGCTGAATGTATGAACCGAAAAGTAAGTGAATTCGGAGCATTTATGTAGTTCGTCCTGTGCATGGGAAGGAAAGAGCGCAACGTTTCAAGGCGAGACCAAAACTAAGGTGGAGAGGCCGTGTGATGTTCTTGAGATGGGATGTGATGGACTCTGCACCAGTAGTTGCTTTAGAGCTCCTCAACACTACTGTTCTCTGCCTTAACCCCAAACAACCACCTCACTTGACTGGTGTAAAAAAAAAAAAATAAATAGCATCCTGATCTGATCGTTGTTATATTTGCAGCAGTTTGAGGGGTTAAGTGATTTATAAAAAAAAAAAAAAAAAAGCCCATAGTTGTGGACTGTGAATGACTGATGGATTCCAGCCTGACATCCCCCAGCCCCCAGACACTGCAAAGCAATGCTCGATGATCCCGACTGTTGTCAACCTGGAGAGAGATTGTATCCGCACCATTTGTGTTTTGACGTCACGTCGCGGAGGGCTGCCTTGAAACAAATATCCTCAGTACGTCACCTTGCCTTTCCTCCTAACGCAGCTTTTATTTTTAATTTTTTTTTTTAGTTCATGTCTTGCTAATGTGAACATATTTTTTTCCAATGCAATTGTCTGTTCAATCCAAATAGCCATGGCTTTATGAGTAAGGTAAAGGTAGCAACATGTGAAAAAAAAAAAAAAAAAAAAGCTTGAGATCATGACTGCACTACTTACATTTGTTTGTTCCTCCTTTGCTCATTCTCCAATCATGTCATGTTAGGCATTCAACGTGTGCCAGGCGGGGAACACGCGTTTGTCACCCCTCATTTTTTGTGTGTGTGTGTACGCCATGTCCCGCCCCCATCCCCCTCCCCCACTGCATGTACACAAGAATCCACTCTCACTGGAGGCCTGGGTGCGGTGTTAAGTGGACCTGCATTTGCGTATTATTTGAAGACAAAGGTTGCAGATGTCCCCCATCTCACCGAATCCATATGCTTGTGGCGTGTATTTACACTGTATAGCTGTTGGTTTGTTCTTAGGCCTCGCCACTCACGTAAGGCCCAAGTTGTGTTATTGAAAGTACTTGAATATGAGCATCTGCAGGACCTTTTCTGATAGTTGAAGTCATCGTTGTCATAGTGACTGAGGGGAATCGGTGGGCGATGGAGCTGTTTGAATGACGGGTATGGCTTCCCTTTGGGACGTGATGGTGCCCGTTGACTGCTGGGGAGGCGGTGATGTCGGTCAGACTGGGAGCAGGTCAACATGAAATGTTCAGCTGGAAGCCTTTTTGACCTCTGACTCCAATAGTGGCGGCAGGCGGGCAGGGCCTTGTCCTTTTGGCTCCCTGAGAAAAGGTGAACCTGTTCCTGATATTGAGGTGCTGAAGCCAAACTAAATAGCCTTTCATGTTTTGTTTCGTGTTTCCCCTGGATTCGCCTTGTGCCATTCCTGAGACTACTATGACTGCCTTTGATCTGTGCCAGGAGAGTGGAATGATTTTGTTCATTTTTTGTTTTCCCACCTGGTTCCATCTTGTGTCCTTGGTATTAAAATGTGTCCACCGCCATTAAAAAAAAAAAAAAATCACAGTGCATGGTGGCTGAATTCAGTTACCGGGAAGTGTTGGAAGAGAGTGAGGAAAAGTGTAGTCACAGCTCCAGGAGTGAGATTTCTTTGCTCCTGCCTCTTCCTTTCAGGGTGTCGCAGCACTTGACAGCCTTTTATTTCCTTTGCATTTGTGGGCCTCCTGCAGTGCGACGGTATGATTAGTATGTGCATGGCTTATCTCGGGAAGACAGCGCTCCGTCTCCCGTGGACCACGTCTATTGTCGGCTCTGTGAGACGTTATGGCTTCCGGTTCATGAACATGAAAAAAAGACATTCCATTTTCTTTCCAGCAAATTTTAGAGCTCATCCGGTTTTGTTGCGTCAAGCTTGTGGTTGTGTGTGACATCCAGAGCTTTGGAGTCAAAGACGCATAAAACAAAGCTAAGGACAGTTCAAGTGGTTATGGAAGGCTTCATACCTTTTGGGTTCTCTGGCACTTTTCCTCATTGCTGTACTGTAGAATTGTCTTGGACTTACTGTATTTTTTTTCTCTGAAGAAGAGGGTGACCTTTACTGCAATGTTGTGACGCTTATTTGAGAATTGTAAATTGTACAGACTTTGCAATGGTAGTCTTGGTTCTTTCTATTGGGATTCCATATAAAAACTGTTTGATTATTTACCCCACCCCCCGCCTTCCAAACTGTGGAAAATGTAGTTGTACAGCTCCAAGAGTTTATTTTCCCCTCGACACAATTTTCCCACCAGATCTATGATTACGAGAAATCTTAAAACTGTAAATAAGTATTATTGTGTTGAAATATGAATGTCACTTCAAAAATGTACTTTGAGTTGGTCAAGGGCTTCAACAGTGAAGGACCCAAGTTTCCTATTTTTAGTCGTTCTGATTTTTAATTTGATGAAAACGTTTCCAAACTGCCCTCCCCACGCCTTTTTTTTAATATGAATTGCTTGTTCTTCCCCTCCTTGGATTCATGTTCGATTTGTTTCACATGAAAAATCACTTTTTATTCCCTCCACGCCTAAAGGGAAATCCAGTTTGCACCCTTTTTTATGTCAAATAAAAGATTTCGCCACCTTTTGCTTTTAGCTATTGTTTTGGTTTGTACTAGTACATTATACATCAGCTTTTACAATGCTTCTGAATTGACAAACTTCTGTTTCAACGTATCTCGAAGTATTGTCCATTACATATTAAAGTAAATGAATTGTTCAGGGTGATGATTTTCGACTATGTGGGAACAAACCTTTGTTCCCTGAGCTCGAATAAGGGGCTTCTTCGTGATTTATTATGCTATGAGATAAGAGAGAATATTAAATCATTGAGTAAATAGAACAAATCTGATTATCATCATCACTTGCTTTTATACTTTTTCTTAAAATTTTTGGAAGGAGGCTTTGTGTGAAAACAGTATTTGTAAAGGATCACCATTTTCCCCCCCAAACCACTGAGTACATATAGCAACTTTAAAATATCAATACGCCTATGTTTTTCAAGTCCTTAGGACATTGTGCGGTGACTGTATCATTTGCGTGAAGATATAATTTCCCAAACAATGAAAATCCATATTTTAGTTATGAACATATTATACTGCACATTAGTCTGTGCTAAGCCAGTTACATTTTTAAATGATCTTTTTTTTTTCAATGAAATATACCAAAGCATACAATTCTAAATAACTGATATGTCAGTGTTCACGTTCATTTTTTTCGAAATAGCCGCATGGTGACGTTTGCTATTATCGCCTCTGACCGCAAGGCGGCAGTGTTTTCAGCGTGTGGTTTTGGTGCGTTTTGTAACTTCCGGTTCAAAGTTGAGTACGCCCTCTTTAACCGGCCTGAATCAACATGGTGGGTATTATCTACGCTGGGAACGAACAACCTGTAACAATCGTTCTCCATCAGCACCTTCAAAGTGCGCAGTCAACAGTAAAAAACGGTGTTTCTCACGCAAATTAACCAATAATTCCTCTTGATATGACATTTTTGGTGTACTGCAGACAGCGATGGAGAAGGAATACAATACACATATGACTGGACTCAGAGGGTATCCGTTTAGTCGCTGCCTGTAGCAAAAAAAAAACCCATCTCATTTGTGCAAACACCGAGTTGGGTGCAGTAGAGTTTATATTAGTAAGGCAGCCAAAATTTGGCCATGGAGAAGGAACTGCCCACACTGTGTGCTTGTGGCTGCGTTTACCTGTCATAGCCAGTGACGAGGCTTTGTATTGTATTTTGGGTGTCATCAGGGACGAGTCAGGACGAAGACAGTCAAGAAGGCCGCCAGGGTCATCATCGAGAAGTACTACACGCGCCTGGGCAACGACTTCCACACCAACAAGCGGTTGTGTGAGGAGATCGCCATCATCCCCAGCAAACCTCTTCGCAACAAAATCGCAGGGTGAGTTTGAAGTCTGCGCCTCTCTGGGAGCAAACAGTCAATTGATGGGAGGGAATTGTGCGAGGACTCGTCAGGCTCTCGAGAGGAGAACAGCATTGCTTTTTTTCCCTCCTGATTTTAACTGTCGAGATACGCAAGGAAGAAAGACTAAACGGTTAGCAAAATTAAAATGTCTCCAAAATACTACGCATGAAATGATATTGATGGGCTGAAGACAACTGTCCTTAGCCTTCGTAATGCGTCAAGCAGCATCATGAAATAGTAGCTGCCAAAGAAGAACATGTATTAACATGTATTTGGGACGATTAAAAGTTTGTGTAAGTCCCTGCTTGTGACAACCCCCTGGTGCACAATCCAACACAAGAACTTGGTCCAAAAAAATAGTAGCACTCTGTATCATAATTACGTCAAATCCAGCTCTTCTATTGATTCTCATCAGACTTTGTTTGCTATTTAATGGGGCACAACATATTTAATATGAAGTGTTTCGTCCACTCAGCTAGTTGTTTGTGTCGTAGTTACGTGACACACTTGATGAAGCGCATCCAGCGCGGTCCAGTGAGGGGCATCTCCATCAAGCTTCAGGAGGAGGAGAGGGAGAGGAGGGACAACTATGTGCCCGAGGTCCAACTTTTAAGCTTTATTCATTCATATGTATCATCATCTGGAATGCTGAGTAGCATGAGTCACGTGTGTATCCTCCTCCAGATCTCAGCTTTGGACCAGGAGATCATTGAGGTGGACCCCGAGACCAAAGACATGCTCAAGCTGCTTGTAAGTGCACACGCACACAGCCCTACTGAGTTGAATTCGAAGAAGTGACTTTCTAATGTTCACATGTTGCGTCGTCTTTGTTGCAGGATTTTGGTAACATCTCCAAGCTTCAAGTGACTCAGCCCGTTATTGGCATGAACTTCAAAACTCCACGAGGACTGTAGAGCCTTCATACTCCTTTTGCTAATAAAGACATGTCATTGCTGGGTGACAATCAACCATGGTTCTTTTCTATATAATTGTGCAGAGCTGCTAACTATGATCTAGCATCTGAACAGAAGAAACTCACACACACACACACCCGCGCGCACACACATATATATATATATATATATATATATATATATATATAAACACATATATCTCAGAGGCGATTGCTCTAAGACTGCAAGGGAAGCTCAGCTTCCCCTAAAATGTCCAAAAAAAAGTGATCAAATATATGTGTGTACGTGTCATTGACTAAATATGCGCTACAACGCGCTCAACTTTTTTTCGGAATCGGCGTCTTATGACTGGTTACGACGCGACTCTCTTCTCATTCATTACCACAGCTTCACTGTGCTTAAAACTGTGGACGCTGAGCGTCGACTGCGCGGACGCTGGGCGTCTATAGAGAGTTCAGGGTGGGTTGTCCCAATGCATTGAAAAGACCATGCATCAGGTGTTTTTTGCCCCCCAAAAACAACCATGTATAAAAGTAAGGCGTTTTTAGCTGAAAAAAACGAACACATATAGTAAGGCGTTATTTTGCCGAAAAAAAAACGACCATGTATAGGAAGGCATTTACAGCCCCAAAAACACAACCATGTAAAGATAGTAAGGCGTTTTTAGCCCCAAAAAAACGACCATGTATAGTCAGGTGTTTTCAACCGAAAAAAACGACCATGTACAGTAAGGTGTTTTTAGCCGAAAAAAACGACGATGGATCGTATGGCGTTTTTAGCCCCAAAAAACGACCATGTATAGTAAGGCGTTTTTGGCCGAAAAAAAACGACCATGTATAGTATGGCATTTTTAGCCCCAAAAAAAACGAGCATGTATAGTGAGGCGTTTGAGCCCAATCCAGGTCTCAGCCTTCCTCTGGGAAGCTTTCATGAACGACCATGTTTAAGAAGACCTTTTTGGGTTGTTACAAGCTCAATAGTGCCACTGTGGCAGGCTGGTTCCTGTGTCAGCTTCCCAGCGCAGAGATGCAGTGTTCAAATCAAGGTCTCGGCCATCATCTGCAGAGTTTGCAGTTCAAGCCTTTTTTTGAAAGACCAGGTATGTAAAGGCCTTTTTGGGTTGTTACTTATGATCTTGGTATAGCAGCGCCACCATAGTCCACTGGTTTGTGCGTCAGCTTAACAGTGGGAGAATGCAGGGTTCGAATCCAGGCCTCGGCCATCTGCAGAGGTTGCATGACAAGCTTCTTTTTGAACCACCAGGTATGGAAAGGCCTTTTTGGGTTGTTACTTATGAGCTTGGTATAGCAGCGCCACCGTGGTCCACTGATATGGGCGTCAGCTTAACAGTGGGAAGATGCAGGTTTCGAATCCTGGCCTCGCCCTTTGTTTGCATACCTATGAAGGCTTTCTCTAATGACCATGTATAGTAAGGCATTTTTAGCCCCAAAAAAGCAACCATATATTGTAAGGTGTTTTTTTTCTGAAAAAAATGACCACTTATACAAAGGTGTTATGAAAACGAAAAAGCCGTTTTTAACCCGAAAAATTGACCATGTATAGTAAGGCGTTTTAAACCGAAAAAAAAAACGACCATGCATTATAGTAAGGCGTTTTTAGCCCCCAAGAAACGACCATGTATGTAGTAAGGCATTATTAACTGAAAAAAACGACCATGTATAGTAAGGCCTTTTGAGCCCCAAAAACAACCATGTAAAGATAGTAAGGCGTTTTCTTTGCCGAAAATAACGAGCATGTATAGTAAGGCGTTTTTGGCTGAAAAAAGGACCATGTGTACTAAGGCGTTTTTATTATTAACCATGAAAAGTAAGGCGTTTTAAACCGCCCCCCACCGCCCCATGTATTGTCAGGCATTTTTAGCTGAAAAAAACGACGATATATAGTAAGGCATTTTTTTGCCGAAAAAAACGACCATGTATAGTATGGCATTTTTAGCACCAAAAAAATGACCATGTATAGTCAGGCATTTTTAACCGAAAAACCGACCATGTATAGTAAGGCTTTTTCAGACGAAAAAAACCGACCATGTATAGTAAGGCGTTTTAGCCGAAAAACACCGACAATGTATAGTATGGCGTTTTTAACACCAAAAGACGATCATGTATAGTCAGGTGTTTTTAACCGAAAAAACGACCATGTATAGTAAGGCGTTTTTAGCCAAAAAAACGAACATGTATAGTAAGGCGTTTTTAGCCGAAAAAAACGACCATGTATAGAAAGGCGTTTTTCGCTGAAAAAAACTACCATGTATAGGAAGGGATTATTAGCCAAAAAAAACCGACCGTGTATAGTTAGGCGTTTTAGCCGAAAAAAAACGACCATGTATATAGTATGGCGTTTTCAGTACCAAAAAACGACCATGTATAGTCAGGTGTTTTTAACCGCAAAAAACGACCATGTATAGTAAGGCCTTTTGAGCCCCAAAAAACAACCATGTAAAGATAGTAAGGCGTTTTCTTTGCCGAAAATAACGAGCATGGATAGTAAGGCGTTTTGGCCGAAAAAAGGACCACGTGTACGAAGGCGTTTTTATTATTAACCAGGAAAAGTAAGGCGTTTTAAACCGCCCCCCACCGCCCCATGTATTGTCAGGCATTTTTAGCTGAAAAAAACGACCATGTATAGTATGGCATTTTTAGCACCAAAAAAAACGACCATGTATAGTCAGGCGTTTTTGCTGAAAAACACCGACAATGTATAGTATGGCGTTTTTAGCACCAAAAGAGGATCATGTATAGTCATGTGTTTTTAACCGAAAAAACGACCATGTATAGTTATGTGTTTTTAACCGAAAAAACGACCATGTATAGTAAGGCGTTTTTAGCCGAAAAAAACTACCATGTATAGTCAGGCGTTTTTAGCCGAAAAAACGACCATGTATAGTAAGGCGTTTTTAGCCAAAAAAAGACCATGTATAGTCAGGCATTTTTAGCCGAAAAAAACTACCATGTATAGTCAGGCGTTTTTAGCCGAAAAAACGACCATGTATAGTAAGGCGTTTTTAGCCAAAAAAAGACCATGTATAGTCAGGCATTTTTAGCCGAAAAAAACTACCATGTATAGTCAGGCGTTTTTAGCCGAAAAAACGACCATGTATAGTAAGGCGTTTTTAGCCAAAAAAAGACCATGTATAGTCAGGCATTTTTAGCCGAAAAAAACTACCATGTATAGTCAGGCGTTTTTAGCCGAAAAAACGACCATGTATAGTAAGGCGTTTTTAGCCAAAAAAAGACCATGTATAGTCAGGCATTTTTAGCCGAAAAAAACTACCATGTATAGTCAGGCGTTTTTAGCCGAAAAAACGACCATGTATAGTAAGGCGTTTTTAGCCAAAAAAAGACCATGTATAGTCAGGCATTTTTAGCCGAAAAAAACTACCATGTATAGTCAGGCGTTTTTAGCCGAAAAAACGACCATGTATAGTAAGGCGTTTTTAGCCAAAAAAAGACCATGTATAGTCAGGCATTTTTAGCCGAAAAAAACTACCATGTATAGTCAGGCGTTTTTAGCCGAAAAAACGACCATGTATAGTAAGGCGTTTTTAGCCGAAAAACCGACCATGTATAGTAAGGCATTTTTAGGCCAAAAACACCGACCATGTATAGTATGGCGTTTTCAGGACCAAAAAACGACCATGTATTGCAAGGCGTTTTAGCTGAAAAAAAACGACCATGTATAGTAAGGTGTTTTTAGCCGAAAAAAACTACCATGTATAGTAAGGCGTTTTTAGCACCAAAAAACGACCATGTAGACAGGTGTTTTTAACCGAAAAAAACGACCATATATAGTAAGGCATTTTGAGCCGAAAAAAACGACCATGTATAGTCAGGCGTTTTTAGCCGAAAAAACGACCATGTATAGTAAGGCGTTTTTAGCACCAAAAAACGACCATGTAGACAGGTGTTTTTAACCGAAAAAAACGACCATATATAGTAAGGCATTTTGAGCCGAAAAAAACGACCATGTATAGTAAGGTATTTTTAGCCGAAAAAAACTACCATGTGTAGTAAGGCGTTTTTAGCACCAAAAAACGACCATGTAGACAGGTGTTTTTAACCGAAAAAAACGACCATATATAGTAAGGCATTTTGAGCCGAAAAAAACGACCATGTATAGTAAGGTATTTTTAGCCGAAAAAAACTACCATGTGTAGTAAGGCGTTTTTAGCACCAAAAAACGACCATGTAGACAGGTGTTTTTAACCGAAAAAAACGACCATATATAGTAAGGCATTTTGAGCCGAAAAAAACGACCATGTATAGTAAGGTATTTTTAGCCGAAAAAAACTACCATGTGTAGTAAGGCGTTTTTAGCACCAAAAAACGACCATGTAGACAGGTGTTTTTAACCGAAAAAAACGACCATATATAGTAAGGCATTTTGAGCCGAAAAAAACGACCATGTATAGTAAGGTATTTTTAGCCGAAAAAAACTACCATGTGTAGTAAGGCGTTTTTAGCACCAAAAAACGACCATGTAGACAGGTGTTTTTAACCGAAAAAAACGACCATATATAGTAAGGCATTTTGAGCCGAAAAAAACGACCATGTATAGTCAGGCGTTTTTAGCCGAAAAAGACGACCATGTATTGTCAGGTGTTTTTAGCCGAAAAAAACCACCATGTATAGTCAGACGTTTTTAGCCGAAAAAGATGACCATGTATAGTAAGGCGTTTTTAACCGAAAAAACGACCATGTATAGTAAGGCGTTTTTAACCGAAAAAACGACCATGTATAGTAAGGCGTTTTTAACCGAAAAAACGACCATGTATAGTAAGGCGTTTTTAACCGAAAAAACGACCATGTATAGTAAGGCGTTTTTAACCGAAAAAACGACCATGTATAGTAAGGCGTTTTTAACCGAAAAAACGACCATGTATAGTAAGGCGTTTTTAACCGAAAAAACGACCATGTATAGTAAGGCGTTTTTAACCGAAAAAACGACCATGTATAGTAAGGCGTTTTTAACCGAAAAAACGACCATGTATAGTAAGGCGTTTTTAACCGAAAAAACGACCATGTATAGTAAGGCGTTTTTAACCGAAAAAACGACCATGTATAGTAAGGCGTTTTTAACCGAAAAAACGACCATGTATAGTAAGGCGTTTTTAACCGAAAAAACGACCATGTATAGTAAGGCGTTTTTAACCGAAAAAACGACCATGTATAGTAAGGCGTTTTTAACCGAAAAAACGACCATGTATAGTAAGGCGTTTTTAACCGAAAAAACGACCATGTATAGTAAGGCGTTTTTAACCGAAAAAACGACCATGTATAGTAAGGCGTTTTTAACCGAAAAAACGACCATGTATAGTAAGGCGTTTTTAACCGAAAAAACGACCATGTATAGTAAGGCGTTTTTAACCGAAAAAACGACCATGTATAGTAAGGCGTTTTTAACCGAAAAAACGACCATGTATAGTAAGGCGTTTTTAACCGAAAAAACGACCATGTATAGTAAGGCGTTTTTAACCGAAAAAACGACCATGTATAGTAAGGCGTTTTTAACCGAAAAAACGACCATGTATAGTAAGGCGTTTTTAACCGAAAAAACGACCATGTATAGTAAGGCGTTTTTAACCGAAAAAACGACCATGTATAGTAAGGCGTTTTTAACCGAAAAAACGACCATGTATAGTAAGGCGTTTTTAACCGAAAAAACGACCATGTATAGTAAGGCGTTTTTAACCGAAAAAACGACCATGTATAGTAAGGCGTTTTTAACCGAAAAAACGACCATGTATAGTAAGGCGTTTTTAACCGAAAAAACGACCATGTATAGTAAGGCGTTTTTAACCGAAAAAACGACCATGTATAGTAAGGCGTTTTTAACCGAAAAAACGACCATGTATAGTAAGGCGTTTTTAACCGAAAAAACGACCATGTATAGTAAGGCGTTTTTAACCGAAAAAACGACCATGTATAGTAAGGCGTTTTTAACCGAAAAAACGACCATGTATAGTAAGGCGTTTTTAACCGAAAAAACGACCATGTATAGTAAGGCGTATTTAGCCGAAAAAAACGACCATACATAGTCAGACATTTTCCACCAAAGAAACAACCATGTATCGTAAGGCGTTTTTAGCCGAAAATACGACAATGTATAGTATGGCGTTTTTAGCACCAAAAAACGACCATGTCGACAGGTGTTTTTAACTGAAAAAAACGACCATATATAGTTAGACATTTTCCACCAACAAAACAACCATGAATAGTAAGACGTTTTTGCCCAAAAAAACGACCATGTATAGTAAGGCATTTTTAGGCAAAAAAAAAAACGAATATATATGGTAAGACGTTTTAGCCGAAAAAAAACGACCATGTATAGTATGGCGTTTTTAGCACCAAAAAATGACCATGTAGTCAGGTGTTTTTAATCAAAAAACGACCATGGAGAGTAAGGCGTTTTTAGCCGAAAAAAACGACCACGTATAGTCAGGCGTTTTTAGCCGAAAAAGACGACCATGTATAGTAAGGTGTTTTTAGCCGAAAAAAACCACCATGTATAGTCAGACGTTTTTAGCCGAAAAAGATGACCATGTATAGTAAGGCGTTTTAGCCGAAAAAAAAACGACCATACATAGTCAGACATTTTCCACCAAAAAAACAACCATGTATCGTAAGACGTTTTTAGCCGAAAAAAACGACCATGTATAGTAAGGCGTATTTAGCCGAAAAAAACGACCATACATAGTCAGACATTTTCCACCAAAAAAACAACCATGTATCGTAAGGCGTTTTTAGCCGAAAATACGACAATGTATAGTATGGCGTTTTTAGCACCAAAAAACGACCATGTCGACAGGTGTTTTTAACTGAAAAAAACGACCATATATAGTTAGACATTTTCCACCAACAAAACAACCATGAATAGTAAGACGTTTTTGCCCAAAAAAACGACCATGTATAGTAAGGCGTTTTTAGCCGAAAAACCGACCATGTATAGTAAGGCATTTTTTGGCCAAAAAAAAACGACCATGTATTGTAAGACGTTTTAGCCGAAAAAAAACGACCATGTATAGTATGGCGTTTTTAGCACCAAAAAATGACCATGTAGTCAGGTGTTTTTAATCAAAAAACGACCATGGAGAGTAAGGCGTTTTTAGCCGAAAAAAACGACTACGTATAGTCAGGCGTTTTTAGCCGAAAAAGACGACCATGTATAGTAAGGCGTTTTAGCCGGAAAAAAAAACGACCATGTATAGTATGTCGTTTTCAGCACCAAAAAACGACCATGTATAGTCAGGTTTTTTTAACGGAAAAAAACGACCATATATAGTCAGACATTTTTCACCAAAAAAACAACCATGTATAGTAAGACTTTTTAGCCGAAAAAACGACCATGTATAGTAAGGCGTTTTTTGCCGAAAAAAACTACCATGTAGAGTAAGGCGTTTTTAGCCGAAAAAGACGACCATGTATAGTCAGGCATTTTTACCCCCCAAAAAAACGACCATGTATCGTAAGGCGTTTCCGCTGAAAAAAAACGACCATGTATAGTCAGGTGTTTTTAACCGAAAAAAACGACCATATGTAGTCAGACATTTTTCACAAAAAAAAACTAGCATGTATAGTAAGACGTTTTTAGCCGAAAAAAACGACCATGTATAGTAAGGCATTTTTGGCCAAAAAAAAATGACCATGTATCGTCAGGCATTTTTCACCGAAAAAAAAAAAAAACGACCATGTTTTGTGTGGTGTTTTTAACCGAAAAAAACGACCATGTATAATCAGGCATTTTGAACCGAAAAAACGACCATGTATCCCATATAAGGCGTTTTTAACCGAAAAAAAGACGATGAATAGTAAGTAGATTTTAGCTGAAAAAAACCCCACCATGTATAGTAAGTCGTTTTCGCCGAAAAAAAACGACCATGTATAGTAAGGCGTTTTAGCCGAAAAACACCGACAATGTATCGTATGGCGTTTTTAGCACCAAAAAAGGATCATGTATAGTCAGGTTTTTTTAACCGAAAAAAACTACCATGCATAGTCAGAAATTTTTAACAGAAAAAACGACCATGTATAGTCGGACGTTTTTAGCCGAAAAAAAACATGTTTAATAAGGCGTTTTTGGCCGAAAAAAATGACCATGTATATATAGTAAGGCGTTTTTGGCCAAAAAAAACGACCATGTATTGTAAAGCATTTTTAAACGAAAAAAACAACCATATATAGTAAGGTGTTTTTAGCACCAAAAAACGACCATGTATAGTCAGGTGTTTTTAACCGAAAAAAACGAGCATGTATAGTGAGGCGTTTTTGGCCGAAAAAAAACGACCATGTATAGTACGGCATTTTTAGCCCCAAAAAAAACGAGCATGTATAGTGAGGCGTTTGAGCCCAATCCAGGTCTCAGCCTTCCTCTTGGAAGCTTTCATGTCAAGCTTTTTTGAACGACCATGTTTAAGAAGACCTTTTTGGGTTGTTACAAGCTCAATAGTGCCACTGTGGCAGGCTGGTTCCTGTGTCAGCTTCCCAGCGCAGAGATGCAGTGTTCAAATCAAGGTCTCGGCCATCATCTGCAGAGTTTGCATTTCAAGCCTTTTTTTGAACGACCGGGTATGTAAAGGCCTTTTTGGGTTTTGACTTATGAGCTTGGTATAACAGCGCCACCGTGGTCCACTGGTTTTGGCATCAGCTTAACAGTGGGAATCCTGGTCTCGCCCTTTGTTTGCATATATATTAAGGCTTTCTCTAATCACCATGTATTGTAAGGCATTTTTAGCCCCAAAAAACGACCTATTGTAAGATGTTTCTTTCCGAAAAAAAAACAACCACTTATAGTAAGGCGTTTTGAAACGAAAAAAATGACCATGTATAGTCAGCCATTTTTAACCCGAAAAATTGACCATGTATAGTAAGGCATTTTAAACCGAAGAAAAAAAAAAACGACCATGTATAGTAAGGCCTTTTGAGCCCCAAAAAACCACCATGTAAAGATAGTAAGGTTTTTTGCCAAAAATAACGAGCATGCCTCGTAAGGCGTTTTTGGCCGAAAAAAGGACCATGTATATTAAGGCATTTTTGACCCAAAAAAAAAAAACTACCATTTATACGCAACGCGTTTTTAACCAAAAAATTGACCATGTATAGTAAGGCATTTTTAACCACCTCTATCGCATTTTTCGCTGTGAAGAACTCAGTAGGGTCTTCATAACAGCCAAATTAGTCTTCCTAAGAACATTAGGTAGGATAGTCTCTTTCTCCATTGGAATGTCCATGTACTTAATTTAAAATAGGCAGATTTATGAACAAAAATGTTTAATTTCAAGATGGCTGCATTTGCTAATTTGCATGCCTTCCATTAACAGTCCAGACAGTGTAGTTTAATGCTTAAACACCTTTATTGTGCCCAATCTGAACATACTCCACAACTGTAAGCAGCAAACTTGGCAGACCACAATGAGGTAGACTTTTCAAACTGTAAAAAGCAGCTGGGTGAAAGGAACTGAATGGCGAGAGGAACGACAGTCTTTGGCACACAGCTAATGCAATCACATCCAACCGCAACAGGAAGGCAGACTAGGTTTACAAAGTGTGCGCTGGGGAGTCTACTGAAGGTCTGGGTGGACTATTTGATCAACTAGGTGGAAGTTCTTACATTCAACAGGAGACAAGCAGCTCTTTCACAGCCGCATCCTCCTACCAATGTACTAATGTGATTAAAACCACTGTCACCTCTCCTTAAGTGCAAATTAAAAAAGTGCAAAAAAAAGAAACATTCACTCAAGGTATGTTTGAAACGACAAGTTGAAGTATCCATCACTACTGGAACCCACATTTGACAATACAACTGCAACAAAGCAAGTTAGTTGGAATTCCAAACTGTGCCCATCATGTTGAAATTTGCCAGGGCAAATAAAAAAAGCGGTCAGAAAAAAAAAATCCTAGGTTCAGGGGAGGAAAAAAAAATAAAAAGTTTGTTCTCCAAAACAGCCACCAGGTAGAATTTCTGTTCAAATTTCTCATGTCATGACTTAAAACCGTTGTGTGTACAAATTAGTAAAAAACTGCGTAAAAGTCTGAAATGCGACTGGTTAAATGAAGCCCAACATTCAACGCCCAAAGTAAGAAACACCAGTTGGCTTGCGCTGGGAAGGAGGGGGGGAAAAAAAAAAGCCAACTGAGGGGAAGGAACTAAAAATTTAAAGGCACTGTATGGCGTTTGCCAATGAACGGCAATGAGACTTGCGTTACTGCTCTTCACTATGCAACATGTAAACCAAAAACAAATTGGGGGGCATTTTCCTCCACTTCTTAACCTTCATCTGACTAAAGTGTTTGAGAAAATGCTGCAAAAGTGAACGGTCCCTTGTCTCTCCCAACAAGGTCACGGTGCATAGTGCCAACTGTGAACGGCAAAAATAGAGCAAGTGCAAAAAGTGAACATTTCCTACAGTGATCCCAGTGCCTGGTGGAGTGCCTCGCCCACACACCGACGGCCATCAGGCCGACTCATGCTCTGCGGTCCGGCCCCAAAGGGGAGTCTGACTCCGGGCCCCTCCTAGCTGGAGTCCTTGTTCTTCTGGTTGCGCATGAGAGGCCGGTGGTTGCTCAGGATGTCCATGGAATGCTGCCAGTGCCAGCACGAGCGGCAGTAGTACTTGAAGCAGGCCTGCGTGTGCACACACAAACACAAATACATTTTCATTTGGTAAATTTAAATATCGGTTCTCAAAGTACTAAAGCAAAGTTTTTATTTTGCCGGAATGCTGACTTGGTCTCTGCAGAAGAAAGGGCCGGCTTGGCGGAGGCAAACTTGACACATGGAGTCTTCCAGGTAAGGGTCAATCTGGACCTGAAGAGAAAGCCGGGCAAAAAAAAACAAAAACGTTTGGATGTTACCCGCAGGTTTCACAATGTGCAAACTGTTTGTGGTACCTTCTTTGTAAACTTTGGGCTTTTGATCTCCACGAATGCTGCGCACACTGCCTTCAAGTAACTTCGCTGATTGTTAAAAGTCACACGTCCAGAGCCTGCACACATTAAGTTGAATTTCAAATACAATTTGTCACTTTGCATTCAACCCTCAAAAGATGACTAAGTTTGAATTCATTAACTACAAACAGTAGGGCCAGATAAAAAAAAAAACAAATAGCCATATAATAGCAATACAAGTTGGGAAAATAGAAACACGATAGGGCAGCAGAATATTGACAACACGAGGCTTAAGAAAGCACACATTTGCTGCTGAGCATTTGGTTTGCACTTTACAGCGTGCACCACTTTTTGCCAATTGCAGTTAGTGTTAAACAGGGCTAAAGCACCATGGAATCCAAGGGGTTGTTTGCAAGCAGTTCACCTCCAAAGCATTAATATGTGATGAGAAAGTTTGTGACATCCCTGGATTTGCTTAAATGGTCATAAAATGGACTCTGATAGTCTTCAAAATCACCAGAACAAACAGTCTGCTTGACTGTACCTGACAACTGTTTCCATATTTTTATTGAAAAGGGTGAACAAAATTTAATTGGCCTGCGCCCATTTGGCAATAAGGTCAACCAAACATTTCCTGCAGTTGATGATCATATGTGCATGATCAGAATTTTGGACCCTCTTTAGAAAACTGTTTTAGTTCCACAAGATTCCTGGCATGCCTGATGAATTGTTCAGGGTCATGCCAAAGAATCACAATATGACTGAATTAGACCACATTTTATGACCATGTACACAGGAAATTAATGATCAAGTGTTCACACACCGAGGCTCAATAGATCAAAATTTGTTTTTTCTATCAAGAAGGAAAATGGAAGCTCTTCACTGTCATAGGAAAGAGAATCCATAATCAAGCGAAGCTGACAGGAAGAACAAACAAGGGTGAAAACCTGGCCTGTGTGTTCTTACCTATGGGATATTTGTGTTTGTCTGTGTCAATGCCTGCATACATGACTCCTCCAAACAGATCATTCATGATGCTAGCCAGTGCTTCTGCATTGAGCATGCCATGCAGTGCACCCACAAACACCGTCTTGCTGGGGTCCAAACGCTGAGCTGGGGAGCGCACGTAGTTGCTGTCCGAAATGACCCAGGGAATAACCTGCACCTATAGTCACATGGGTTTATAAAGGCTGCAGTATTAATAGCAACATTAAAAACAAGGAATCAACCAACCACCAAATTAGTTATGCCTGGACAATCAAATGAAATCTGATCCATGATTTAAAATAAATAACCTCAACACCATGATCATTTAGCAAGAGCTTGGTGACCCAATTTATTGCTATGACTAAACATTCATCGTAGTCGTTTACCTTAAAGCAGCAGTCAACTACATTACATGTAGTGTGGCATTGGAGTTTTGATGAAAATGGCCTAAATTTTGGTACAAATCTGGATACGAGTGTAGATATTTTCTTTTCAAGCATTTATTAGGTGAATCACAACGGATCAGACATGACTGCCATTTCCCCTTAGACAAGTCTGAAGTCTACTCAGACCAGAACGCCCTGCCACACGAACCCTTCCCCTGTTGTTATCAGACCCATGAATATTGATATATTACTTCTACTGCACACCGTTTTGGCCAGACGTGGGCAAAGTATGACCGGGTTACACATGCAGCGCTCCCACTGACTATACCTCAGTGACCAGGAAGTCAAAGTGAAATGTAAAGTACAGTGCTTTTATTTTGAAAGTCAGATTGCAAAAAAAGCAAACAGGAGCAAACCAACTTAATGCAAGAAAAACCTCCCAAAAAAATCAGTTTTTTTGGGGAAAGGCTGTCACCACAAAGTGGACGCCTATTTTATTGAAATATTCATTTTATTCTCAGACAAAAGTCATGAATGAGTTTCTACTCACATCCTTGCAACGCATTCGGCGACTGGACATTTTGAAGTAGTACTCCCTGTTATCTTCTGGGTGAAACGGGTCCTGAGAGCAGGCATGGAGTAAAGCCCGCACCGATTTCTCATTCTCAAACACCAGGTAGACGTAGCCTGCAAAAGAACAGCAAACCTTTAGTCCGAGATAAATGGGAAAGAGGGGTGGGAACCACAGAACACTCGCGTCAAACTCGAGGCAAGAGGGTCAAGATCAGCCCCACATAACTGGAGCGCAAGAGCAAATCAAGCATGTCAACTTCCATGGTGGGTGCTGAATCTGAACCAAAATTTCAAATTGGCATAACGAGATTGCAAGGGTTACCTTATAAGATAACCTTTATTTGTCCCACACTGGGAAAATTTGCAGTCTACAGCAGCAAAATTGGTGGGGAAAAAAATAAATGTTTCAGAAAAGAAAACAGTTCATTGTAAGTGCAATATATAGCATAAGCAATATATTTGCAGAATATAATAAATTAGCAATAGCATAGAAAACAGCATAAGGTGGCTGTGCTATTTACAATGGTTACAGGTTTTCACATATGTTTATTCAGCAGCCTGACAGTAGTCTGTAGGAATGAGCGGCGCTATCTCCTTGCAGTGCTGTCAGGGCGGGCTAGAGCGGGTGGGAGGGACTGTCCATCATAGCTTTTAGTTTTACAGTAACTTGAACAACAGTTGACCAGACTACAGCCCCTGACAAAAGTCTTGTCACTTGGGTAAAAGTTGACTCACATAGTTCCATTTAAAGAAACTGCTATTTTGAAATAGTGTTTTGGGGCCAAACAAAATTGCCAAAGCACATTCCAATATTCACAGCTGGCGAATTGTATTTTGGGACCTGAGGTGACCAGGCCTGGTCACCTCAGGTCCCAAGTCAATCAGAATAGTTTGTAGAGTTCTGCCTCAAAATGGGTGGCATTTGCCAAGGCCCACAGCCCACCAATGATGGATACTCGAGGCAAATTGATTTCTCATATTAATCTTCAATAGAATTATTTCACAGCCTCCGCAAATATCACATGACTCCTACTGGAGTCCACATGGATTCCCCACTCCACCCCCAAAAAGGAGGGGGGGGGGGGCCAGGGTGGTGGCCGGGAAAAAAAAAAAAATTGATCACATTCAGTATTATGGGGGGTGCAATAGACTTGCAGGGTGGAAAGAAATGTCATCAGCCGAAAATATCAAGAAGTATTGTTTTTACAGTCCCACCTATAAAAAGCGGTCACATTTTGAAGCAAAATGGTATGCATCACATACATATCTCAAATCAAAGATTCTCAAGGCAAAAATCAAGGTGCTCCAGGACCGAGCAGCCCACTAAGCCCAGTCACCAGACATTATCATTGCGCATGTCTGGGGTAGAATGATAGAGGAAGTATGGAAGCTGACACCAAAGAATCTTGAACTCCGGCGGCATGAAAGACTGCTTTCTTTGCCATTCCTAATGATGACTTCAATCACTTGTATGAATCAATGCAGCCTTCCAAGCTCATGGAAGTCATACAAGATATTAAATATGGATCTCACAGCCCCACTACTTAATCCTGATATTATGCAACATATTTTCCACATCACTGTCGTAAGGGGGGACGTGTCTTGACAAAATCTGACCTTTTTGCATCGATTAAAATCATTTTGTTCAGTGAAGCAAATTTTAATAAATAATTTGGAAGACTTTCAGCTTTAATATGAGCCATTTCTAAAACCAATGGATTAATTACAATGTCGGGCTCTAGCCGTTTCTACAAAATTGATAAGTGACAAGACCAGTTAAGAACTACTAGGCTTTACTTCAGATTTCAAAACTAGTTGCCCATCAATTGTGTAATGCACGTAATAAGGTTGATTAAACCGGATGGTTTCACTCATAACGGCCTCCCTAGGGAAACTACAAAGTGGCAAAAATGAGTTTGACAGCCTTGATTTAGAACTTGGTAGGAAAACATTACAATTCAAGAAAACGTGTGCAACAATTGTGGAAACTTAGTTCATGTGACATTAACAGTTACAGGTTCATTGTGCCATGTGGGACAGACAGACACCATAAACCCCATTCAACCAATTAAATGATTAGCTAGAACACCAGTGTTACTGTATAATAGAGATGGAAGTAATGAAATATAAATGCTTCACTACTGTACTTGAGTAGTTTTACAATACCTTACTGAGTATCTCAGAATTTTTTTACTATTACATGTTACATTTTAAGACCAATATCTGGATTTGATAAATTTTTAAATAGGGTCATTACATTTTTAATGCATGACAAAGATTAAAATACATTAGACTGAGAAGAAAGAGCTGCCCTCGCCATTTCCTGGCGACACCAATCACATGAAACATTCCACCCAGTCACCTATAACCTAGCTTGTCATTGGCTCCATGTCAGGCTATGAAATTACATGCAATTGGACAGTAAAACTTTGAAGCATGCAGGGCTACCAACCCACGAATCGGTAGATGTCATACTCCATGCTGACGGAAATGCTCAGCAAAGAGTGTCAAAGGCAATCCAGCGGATTTTGTGTTTTTTTTTTTTTTTAAATATATAATAAAAACACAGCCCATGGATGCCAGGACATTGTGCTTTGTACAACAAGGGAACTTGCAGTAACCTTTCACAGGTTTATTTTTTAAAAAGCCTTGTATTAAGTTAAATTTATAGCGCATGGTTTTCATTGGTTACGAAATGAGTATGTTCCAACTTAATGGGAACGTCAACCTGCCCAACATGGGCTGCCACTTCGACATGTCCGTTAGCCACCTGCTAAAGTGTGCTGCTGGCATAACTAGTCTTCTATTTATATCTGTAGTCAACGTAACAAGAGAATCAACAAAGCAAATTGTAGCTTACATTACTCATCGCCAAACTCCAAGACACTACATAGGAACGTATGCTGGACAGTGCTCTCTCGTCAGTGTCTACATACAATTTGCATTGCGCGGCTAGCAGGGCTATAGCATTCCAAAAATTACCTTCATTTTACTTATTTGAATGAGTACTACTAATCGCTGTTAGGCTTGGATGACTGTTTCATGCCATGTGTTCTGTTAACTGTTCCATAAAGCACTTTGACAGATGCAGCTGGTGTGAGAGCGCTGTATAAAGATGTGTATTTTTATACAATTGCACTTCTACTCAAGTACAGAATGTCAGTACTTTCCCTCTAACCAAATGAACTTGCCAGGAGAATTGTTTTTTTTTTGTCGTGTTAAACACTTTGCATCTAGATCTGCTCCACTTACTCAACTCACGAGCATGCCAATGTGTCCACCACTGTGCCACCCTAAAGCCAATGATGGGGAGAAAAAAAATTGGCCTACCCACTTGTCATTACCTTTGGCCACATTACCTTTGGGAGGACAGCGAGGGTGCTTTCCATCCTTACCAGGCCACTCCACAGTCAGAGGGCCGTAGCCACTGAAGGTGTTGATGAGTCCAGCTGAAACAAGTGGATAATTTAAGTATACACGTGGCAAATTCCTTAGAATTAAGATCAGTCATAAGTTTCAAACTGTGGGGGACAATTGATCATGTTATCAATCAATAGCCTATTACAACTACTTTCCATGAATTCAACAAATTACTACTTCATGAGCAGAAACTACAGAGTTGTGCAATTAAAATGTTTGACTTCTAAAATGTCCACTCTGAATTAGTGCTAGGTGATACGGTGGGGACCACACGACAATATATTCCCCCCCTCCCCCCCCAAAAAACCTTGATTGCTTACCTATTCTCACTGTATTTTGAAGTGACATGAAACAGACTATCAAATGATAAATGCAGCTGCCATTTCTTGTACAAATAAAAGGTGATCTTTACTTTCATGAAAACATTTTGCAGATTTCAAAAGTCAAAATCAAAACTCATAACTGTATTGTGAAAACATTTCACATTAATATATGCATTCAATACATTCACTATGTATGCATCAATTTTCTGAATATTTTATCCTCATATATAATTAACCCTCTAGGCCGGTCCTCCAGGTTGACTTACATGATGCCCCAACATGTCCTGTTTAGCTGTGTGTGTAGCATTTTGTACTTCCTTCTCTCCACTAATTGCCGACTATGTTGCATTTCAAAGACTGATATGCTCCGCTTTAGCGTGGCTCTAGTGAGACCTCTGAAAATTTTAGTCACCCAAGCACTTAATTCCATTATTTAACGATGACATGCTAGTTTAGCAATTATACATGGCTGCTCCGTCTTAAGACTATCAGTTCTCGTCAGATGTCAAAGCTTATTGCGACATCTGCTGTTTGAATGTTGCTGGGCCGTGGGTCTTCGGGAAGATGGACTTTTCCAACCGCATTCTCTTACCGTTTCAGAAAACTTTGCTTCCTTTATTCCATTTTCCCTGAAAATTACATCAAAACTTATAAAATGTACTAAACTGGCAATCATTTTGTGGGGGGGAATCTGCCAATTATAGAGCAAACGCTATGACAGTCCGAGTTCCTTTAACCATGCAGAGACATGTTTAGCCAGACAACCATGTAGTGGAAGATGATTTGCTCCCATAAAGTAGGGATGGTGCTGTAACAAGGGTTAAGCTTGTTCAGGGCTAGTTTATTTACAAAGCACCAAACCATGAGCTGCACTTTAACAGAAACTCACAAGCGTCATTTGCCAAATGACCCACAGTACAGTGTGTAGTCCCCAAATAGCAAAGAGTGCATTCTAACTTGCAATAGGGTGAGATTAAATTAGCTAATTTTTATTTTTAAGCGTTTCCGTCTTCATGCTCCACAGTCATTACATAAACCTATTTTTTTCCATAAGGTTTAAAGCGACCCCAAACCTTGGGTATCCTTTTTATGTATTCTCCATGGAAGCCCCTGATGACCGAGCATGTCTGTCAGCAACAAGTGTCCGTGCGGTAAACACTGAAGTGGCCACACACTGTGCTGGGAATCGTAAAGCCCCACCCCCACCCCCGAGCCCTCATGCCCAAGTGAACAACTCATATTCAGTTTAAATTCATCTCTCCGTTTATTATTTATAATTTTATCTGTGGTTTTATTGTTCCTGTTTTGGTTGTAAAGTGCGCTTGCGTGTTTTGAAAGGCGCTTATAAATGAAATGTAATATTATTATTATTGTAACAGTCCATGCATGCTAACATTCACCTTCTGTGATGTCCCAGGGCACACCACCAAGAAAGACCTTGCAGGAGTAGAGAGGATCCTTGTTGTTTCTGGGAGGCAGCTGACCACTCCAGGTGAAGGTTGCTTCATTCACAGCTTTGAGGAAAGAGAGGTCGTTGCAATTCAGAGTTTGCACAACCTGTTTTTCATACACTTACCCGCAGCCTGTCTATGCAGGCGTGCTTCTCTCTCAATGCTGAACGCTTCATCCGATTGGTCCAACATGTCCACACCAGGCCATGGAGAGCCAGTGCGCCAGCGGCGAGAAAGAGCAGACGAGGCCGGGCTGGCGCTGGATGGCGGGGAGAGAGGAGAGCTGGTGTCCGGGGGGTCTAGGCGGGAGCCCAGTCGCAGCAGATCCTTTTGAATGTTTGATGCGTAAGGCAGGGGAGGTGAAATCCGCAGAGAAGACTGAAGGAAAAGGGATTATAAACGTACCTTTCATTTAAATGAATACTAGTTACAAGTTCTTGAATGTTGAACCCAACGTCATTTTTTTGTCCAGTAGTTTCCAACCTTGTCATGTAGCCCTGAACCCTTTTGTCATAAAATGAATACCCCCCCTGACTCATTTGTGTTGATTTTTCAAAAGTAAAATTAACTGATTAATTTTATATTGTCTTCTATATTTGAAGATTTGCTTCTTAACCCAAACTTAAATTAGGTTGCCTTAAAAATTAAATACATTTCTAGCATTTTCACAATAGCTGTAACAGAAACAAAGCGCTTTTGAGAACATTTAACATTAAACAGAACACAAGATGTGTACATACATTAAGTAAAATATCCCTTTATACACAATATATACCACAAACAGAGATGAAAGTGGACTTTTCTGAAAATTCCGGAATAATATATATATATATATATATATCGCATGCGGCTTGACATCCTCTTCCCAAGACGATGCATGTGTAATCTACGATTAATTTGACGAAAGAATTTAACACACGTCATCAATCATGGTTGATTTAATTATTTTTTATTATTATTTTGAAGTTGAAGGTATTAAATTAATTAATGTAGTATTAGTGGGAGTGGTAATAATAGTAGTACTCAGAGAATTACAAGTGCATCGTCTTGGGAAGAGGATGTCAAGCCACATCAACACTTACCTGTATTAATGATTACCAGTCAATTAATCTTTGCAGTGTGAGATTGGAAAAAATACTCTGATGATGCCACATAAGTACACCAGTTTTTGATCCATTTATTTTTTGGAATAAACCTGGAGTACACAGCTGCTGATGTAATGTTCAGTCTTAATGCATAGTTTTCAAACATTTACCCATGAAACATTATACTTTTGAGTTTCAGAATTCTTGATGATCAATATCAGTCAAAATAGAAAAATGGGTTCCCATGATGAACGTTTACAGAACCCCAAATTAGTTATCGTGGTTTCCCATTGGGTAAGTGCCTCAATATGGCTACGCTCGTGAAAGCAATACAACGAACTCAAACGCGTCTTCGTTCAATGTTGTCAACTAATATCCGAATTAATTTTATGCAAATTTTCCTCAATTCGCCGGAGAAATTTTCAAGAAATTTTGAAAAACCCGGAATTCCGGGAAAATCCGGAGGACTTTCATCTCTGCACAAAAAAACCAAACACAAAACAACCCCTGCCCCTTGAACAAGTGTGGACCGGGCCCAACTTTTATGTAGATACGTGTGGCTCCACATACCAGGACATCACAGAGGTGATCAGAACCAGAGCTGAAGCCACTTGTCTCAGAGTCTTCAGGGCTGCTAGAACGCGAGTCCAAAAAATAGCTGGAGTCCAAACGGTTAGCCATGCGAGCCATGCCAGGGAACTTCTCCAGGAAGTCAGCGGTCATGCTCATGGACTCTGAGGGCAGGTAGGCCGCTGGCTTTCCAAGGATGTTGCTCAAGGGACTGTTCAGGATGCTCAGCACTGGAAAAGTACATAGATATTTTTAGCAGGTACACTGAGGTCTGAAATTTGCATCAATGCAGTTTGGGAAGTGGCTGCATCATTTTACAACGCATGTTTAGAAACAAGTGGCAGACTGAATAGAACTAGATTTCTAACAGACTCCCAAAAAAAAAAAAAACAAAAAAAAAAACAAATGAGGCATGCTGCTCTCATGGCGAAAGAGCAGACATTTGCATATCATTCCCTCGTACTACTAAGGCAATTGTAAAAAAACAACAGTTTTCAAATAGAAAGGATCATTAATTTCCCCACCAACAATATTACTGTATATACCACGGGAGGGCAATTTGCAAAGTGGCCCACATGAGAAATTTAGGGGAAAAAAGCATATTGTCCCATGTCAATAAATGACATATGTATATATGTATGAATTGCTTTGATTTAAAGAAACACAAATTTTAAGCAAAGTTATCAGTAATCTTACACTTCAAAAATTATTAACTTTAATTTTGTGGTCCCCGGGCAGTACTTTGACCAGGTCTGCCATTTACCATTGCTATTTGTGAATAAAGTTCAAGTTTAAAGTGCGTACTGTATTTTCCGCACTACAAGGCGCACTGGATTATGAGGAGCACCTTCAATGGCCTATATTTAAAAATTTTTCAAATATTGCACGCACTGGACTATAAGGCGCAATCTACAATGTATCCACTAGATGGAGCTACAGGTACGTCTTTGTCCATCTCCGAGCCTTCTCTTCTTCCGTTTGACTCGAGAGGCGTTCATGACCGCCTCCAAAAAACGTAAATTAACGATTACTTAAATGAAACTACGAAAATTGAAAATACATTAATGCATCAAAACACAAAATCCCAAAATAAATTCTATAGCCCCGTACTGCACCAGAACGATCAGATGTCAGTAAATTTGATCTTAGTTTTACTTTTTGGTGCCTACTACCATCTTTGTTACTGATTATTGCTTTATTGTGTGTATTTTCTCTCTCTCTCCATCTATCTATCTATCTATCTATATATAGATATATGTTAGTTGCTCCATGTACAGCACTTTGTACTTTGAAGAGAAGGCATGGAGACAAAGACGTACCTGTATTTGTTGAGACTGTGAAAACCATTAAAGTGTGCATTTTTTTTTCAACACCACAGCTCTCTTTTCGGAGCTGCAACAAAAACGTATTTAATAAAGCAGCGACACAGTTCACTGAACCAACAGCAAGTTATAACATTGTAAGCATGTCTCCAGCAAGGAGCCATCTTGGGGTCGACGTATTATTGTAATGACCATACACAAGGTGCACCAGATCTTAAGGCACACGGTGAGCTTTTAAGAAAATTGAAGACTTTTTGGTACGCCCTATAGTGCGGAAAATACGGTAATCCAAATTCAAGTATCAAGAATTTCACCCATGTGAACCCCGTTTTCAAGTTTAACCAACAATGGATTTGTTCATATCGCAGTCATGTTTCTAATTGCATTGCTAGCTCCATGACGAGAGGGGTAAATATTGAGCTGCAAGCCATATTCAAAGATCTCACCCATTTTGTTGTTCCGACATAACTATGTATCAAGGTTAAAACTGGGCCAACAAGCAGTGATGCCATTTCAGCACTACAATCAAGTCAGAATGAGTCACTTGCAGCGCCAAGACTTCTAATGTTCCGCCCCATGGTTCAAACTAATGTATTAAATTCGGCTATAAACCCACTAAAATTGGGCGTAGCCTAAAGGGGTATTCCAGTTGTATGTTGTAACGACCACGGTTGGCGTATATGAGGCTTCACTGCATTGATTGTTGACAGACGAAGCAAAGCAAAAGTGCCAGATCATTCTGTGATGCTGCAGTTTTTAGTGACACTCTGCTCTTCCCATTACATTTTAGACAAGTACGACACCAAATCGACTCTTGCATTTTTGAGGTTTGGCTGGGAGGCCACCATCTGGGGAAACAAAGCTTGGACAGCACTTACTTGAGGGTGAGCTGGTCTGAACCTGGGAGGGAGAGGAGAGTGACTCAGTCTCCTGGCTGCTCCAAGGTCTGTCCCAACCAGACAAACGGAGAGATTGCAGGCCCAGACCCAAGTCTGCCACACTCGGCGGGACACGTGATGGCTGCATTTCGGGCATGCCATCACAGTTGGCGAAGAGCATCCTCCTGCTGCCCACCGCAGCCAGGTCAGACTCTTTACAGGTTGAAATTCAGGTAAGAGGAAGAGAAGGAAGAGTGTTAAGACAGCCAGAATCCTCTCACAGCTACAGCAGAGAGCAACGTCCGTTTTCAGCCCTACCCTGGATGACGGGGGAGCTAACCTGCTGCCTCTGCCATGCACCTCCATCTGCATGGCTGACCCACCTAGCAGCATGTGACATAGCTGCTGATGCACTCACACTGCCATAGTAATGACATCGACTTCCCCCACCTCCCTGCTCCCCCCCCCTAAAAAAAAAAAGCCAGCTGGAGCTACAGGCTAGTCGGGACCCTCTTCTCTGGTGATAAGAGGTATTAGGCGGCAGAGGACCACCGACGTTACTGCGGCTACCGCTGACTCTCTAGCCCGTTTCCTGAGCCAGCTGATCAAGGCAGTGAGAGGGGGGGAGGCAGCTCGAGCACGCAGGCATCATGACTCAGCAAGCTTAAAAAGTATTCAGGGTCGAATGCTGCTCAAAAAGCAGAGAAGTTCGAAGTCAGACAACTGTTTGTATATTCTGCTATTGTTTTTTCACAGTGAAAAAAAAGCAGGCAACAGAGCCTCGAAGCAAGAAAGCAGCTGACTGATCAGATGTTTGAAAAAAAAGCAGAGCAATGTGCAACAGCTCCTCCCTTTTCTCTCCCTGGAGAGAATCCAAACACCAGCTACAGCCCTGATTCAGCAACTGCCAAGCTCGGGTTTGGCTCTGGAGTGACTATACTTTTGTTTTCTGGCGTGTAATAGTTTATAGATGCTCAAATTACATAATGCAACGTTATTAACAGATTGTCTCAAAAGCAAAATATGCGTTGAAATTATGAATTCCAGGAAGAGCTCCAAATTGTCCTCTCAAAAAAAAAAACCCTTGGCAAATCTTACATTTGGTAGCGCAAAAAAAGTGCTGCAATGCAGCATGAATCAGCTATTCACTCATTCAGTAATGCCAAGAGCACCAGAAGCTTAACTGTTAGCCAAGATGCGACATGCTTTCACTGATTTAAAACAAAATTCAAAACAAAGGTTATCATGATTGGACATTCTAACTTGCGCCGAACACAGACCCGACTAACCACTACCTTTAATCGCCAATCAATTCTAATAAATGCTATCAATATAATCTACACAAACCTTGCGCTTCCCCTACCTCTGGGTCAAGGTATTTACGGCACACAATCTCTTAGAAGACCAAAATATCAAAACGCGGGAATACTGAAATGATCACACCACACTTTACTCAAGGCTCTTTAGATTCACAGGAAGCGATTAATTTTTTTGGGTGAATGGCAACGAATGGATACTAGAGATGGAACGATTAACCATTTAAGACCTGGAAGCAGCTTAAGTTTAGCCTACCACATCAATGCAAAGCACCCAGTCGCAAATGCAGCCACAGCCAACTTTAGCACCAAAACCGTTTGCAATATAGCGAGCCATAGCAAAGCTACTCGCCAAACTAAACTCGAGAACACCCCATGTACAAGGCATGAAGTCAGCACAGCTGCTGTGTCCTCGGTAGCCTGCCCGAAGTGATTGTTTATTTCAGTACTTTCTTTTGTAATGATGAACAGTGCTATTTCTGAATTCCTAACTTACAGCACTGTGATTTAAGGGTCCGATTTATTTTTTTATTATCTGAAGCAAGTTCAGTGTTCAGCACTTACTGCTCAGAAAAGTGTTCTTACCGCTTTTGACATGTTAACTGAAGCACTTTTTATGGACCCGATGTTCTATTTTATTTTCATTTTGTAATTATTTGGAGATTTACAAAAACAAAAAGTGATATTCTCCTGGTGGTCGAAACTAAAGTTTGCAGATAGGATTTGGGACTAGTTTCAAATACAGCAGAAAGTAAATGACTAGTCTGTTTAAAAACAAAGACTTTATCCCACTTTTTTGTGATGTCAATCTTTTGATCTGCCTCAATAATGTAATGAATTAAAAATGAAAATAGGGGTTTTCTCAGCAATTTTTAGAGGAGATTAAAATAGATTTCAGCAATTACTTACAGATCATTATTAATCAATTTTTTTAATCTCGACAGCACTATCAATAATAGAGAAGGCTTCTTCGGTCATTTTGGTCAATAAGGCAACCATTTCTTAAGTTGGACACTATGCATAAATTGTTGAAAATGTCTACGTCACAAAATACTCCACTAACCTGGTGTGGTGAGAACTACTTTGATAAATAAATCCCCTGTAGCCTCACTGATAGCTTGTCAACAATCTTAAGGAGTACATACACAGAGCTAATAGTATCCAAAGAGAAATCCTCCTCCTTTGAACCTTATGAAAAATGCAAAAATATACTCCATTATTATGTACTTAAGATTTTATTATTTAAGTTAGTCATTTGATGATTGCTAACCGCTCAATCAGTACTTTCTTAAGTAGTTTTCACTCAATACTTATTTACCCTTACAGGTGGTAATTTGGAGAACTACCGGTACTTGTTTTACTTGAGGCCCATTATTCAAAATGTTACACTACTCTCACCTGGAGTACTGCACCCACCTCTGCTAGAGTGCGAGACAAATTAAAGTTTGATTGTGTTTCTCCTAGGCATGGACAAAAATCATTGAATTCCCAAATGTGTTGCATGTACTTTTCATTGGCTGAGACAGTCAAAATGTAAGTACGCTTAGTAAAAAGGTCTATTTTTCCTTGTAGAGTAATACAAATACGCCTGAGTGCGACCAATTCAAAAGTGGAAAAGATGCATTATGGAAGCGTTTCAACCGTCACAGTCAAACCTCGAGCGGGCTTTACAATGAAATGGCCGCACTACGTGAGTCGTTGTGACTGTAGAGGAGACGTTACCACACAGCAAGTCAGCCTTGCCCTTGGTGTTGTTGGGAGTGGTGCACACGCCGGTCAGATCCAGAGCGTTGCCCAGCATGGTGTTCATCCGGCGGAAGATGTCCGCGTTGCTACACGTCGACAAGGCAGCAGAGTCTGAGTCGGGACTGGCAGGCCTACGGGTGTCGTTTCTCTGTGTCGAACACAAGCGATTCATTTAGTCCATGTTCGAGTTCAAAAAGAGCACCCGTTATGGCTTGGCGCTCAAACACGCCGCTTTCGAACACTAATAGAACACTCAATGACACGTTCTGCTAGAAGACAATGGTTTTGGTAACACCAAAGCCCCCATAATTACGTTTTGAAGACATTGGGCAGACACGTCCAATTTCAAACACTCACCAAAGAAAAAGCCATCGTGTAGAATGAGCTACTCAATAAGAATCGCCAACAACGAAAGCGCGTAACAAAATGGCATGTTTATGAAGAGGGCGACCTGCTAATTAGTGGCAATATGGCGAACGTGCGCGGGTAATGATTGAGCCTTGAGCCTCATTGGCCTCCGTCTGGTCACGTGATCGCATTCAAATGCGACGCCGGGCTAATCAAATCATGTGTATACATCAAAACTGCGGGAACCTTTTTAAAGTTGAACATTTTCGTTTTTGTTCTATTACTGTAATTATTTTTTTAAAAAGACGTTACCATTTCAAGGGTTTCAAGTGTGTGGGTTCTTGGATCTATGTATCTATCTATCTATCTATCTATCTATCTATCTATCTATCTATCTATCTATCTATCTATCTATCTATCTATCTATCTATCTATCTATCTATCTATCTATCTATCTATCTATCTATCTATCTATCTGTTTGTCTGTCCATCCTTCAATATATTTTTTTTTTAACCTCAAGCGTCACAATTTTATCCACAGCCACTAAACTATACATTGTAGTGACTCCTATGTACATAATTCACCACCAACTGCAAATGTGTGAATGCAATGTTCATATGCTTGTCAGAGAGTTCACGATTATTTGGTAACGGGGTAGAAATAATTGCAGTCCCTTTAAGGACCGCCATGTTAGTCTGCTTGTTTCTATGGAAACTTACTTTCTGCGGGTTTCGTTTGGCGCGAGTGTTTTTTTTTTTTAGTGTGCTAATAAAAAAACACGACACACTCTCTCTCGGTGTGCGAACGTGGGAAATTGTCGCTTTCTTCGAGTTCTACAATTTCCACAACAGGTGTATTGATTTGGGTCCTGAATACGTTCAAGGGATACTTCACTTAATGTACTCCATTTGCTGCAGTAAAAAAGTCATATTTTGTCTTTTACTAGTTTGATCGCTGAATTATTTTTCAGGTGCATTTAACAACTTTAAAAACTATTTTAAAAATAATGTCGCTGGCCGCCATATTTAATGAACACGTCTCTAGATGTGTGTCACATGTGTAAACGTTGGACTAAGCTGCACAATAACATGCACAGCTACGCCGAATGGGATGTATGAAATCCTGAAAGAATGAAGCCATATCATTTCAACTGTCCTACTCTGTGTCAAATGTCTGCCGATTGTGCAGCAAGCGAGTATACACACTCGCCCTCTATAGCATGCTTTCCTGCAAGAGCTACAAAAGTTGCAGGTGGGAGAAAACCTCCTTGGTTCAAGTCCCTTTTTCCCATTCGAGCCCATATTAGATCAGGGACTCCTCTGCAATGGAGGCCGGTTGAAGAAATCTACTCATGGTCCAGAACTCGAACATTCCATTGTTCTACCTGAAGATCGCGTAACAAATCGACCACTCCATGAGCTGCCACTAGGGCAGAAACATTGATTAATTTACCTCCTGACTACCAGTAGTTCAAATTTGTCCTCTGTAGAGGACATTTGAAAACCTAAATATCTCCCACCCAGTGCATCCAATCGCATTAACTCCTTTTGTTACTCTAAAGAGGACATTCGGTGCTTTCCAATGATACAAAATTTATAGGGGTTAGAAAAAGTAAGAAAATGGCTTCCCTCAGTGCAAGCACTTTTTATGGGAAGAGGAAAAGTAATACTTTTTATCAAACACATTATGTCTTGAAATGCTGTTGGCATTTTATTTATAAGACTGTTATGAACACGTTAAAGTGTTGTTTGAGTTGTTTTAAGTGTATTTGAGCCTAGTATTCAAGTGTTTAAAAAATGTTGTGGAATTTCAAAAATTTCTTTTGGAGTAGTCCAATTACTTCACATAGATTGGGGAATTTCAAAATAAATGTGATTGGACAACATTTTTTTTCCTGGTAGTGAGTTGGTTAAGCTAAGACCAAATGAATTTTGGGTGATCGGCAGCAAAGTTAAAAAACAAATGTGCTCAATGTCGAAAGCTAAAATGCCCAATTAAATAACAATGCATGTCAGAGCTTCCAAAGGAATACATTGAAATGTTAGAGGCCTTTGTGTTTTGGGGAATGGATTGCTTTGGGCCATTCATTACAAAGGAGACTTAGCCAGGAGCACAAACGATACGGGCCACTCTTCCCTTGTCTCTCATCACGTGCAGTCCACATAGAAATGCTCAAAGATTTGTCTCGAGTCATTCATTCACAGCTTGAGATGTGTTATCAGTCTAAGAGAAGCAGTGAGTTGGCTTTAAGGTGACGAAAACACAAATTTTGGGGGTGCAAAAAAATAACTTGAAGAGGCTCTCAAGCAATGGGACACAAAGGCTCTGGAAGTGAACAATGCGATTTTGTTTTCAATGCCCCATCTGCTAGTCACGGCGGAGGCGTTTGGGAGCGACAGATTTGAACCATGCACAACCTTCTCAATGGCATAATTGCTCAATGTTTCAACTGATTAGATGACCTTCCCTCAGGATTATTTTTTATCATGCAATGACTATGATATCAATGGACAACCACTAAGTCTTGACAAAATTAATGTTTCAACGTCATCAGAACCTCTTATTCGGAACCCCCCCCCCCCCCCACACACACACACACATGAAATCTGAAGACGCCTTCCCAACTCTAGGCATAGGTTTGTAAATGAGGATTAGTATGCAAGGAAAATGTGGCGCAGAGTTTGAAAAAGAACGCCTTTTGAATACAGTACTGCCATTCGACAAAAACACCACAAACCACGTCATAACAAATAGGTCAATGACATGGTCATTAGCCAATAGCAACTCGGCCGAGCTGTAGAAGTATCCGAAGAAGATGATGGTTTAGTGCACAGACTGAAAATTCAAATGTGCCAAAGAAAGAATGCTCGCCCTGTAAACCCCAAATCATTGAGTGACACCAATCCAAAAGCTAGTCACTTGAAAGTAAGTAACAGCAACATTAATTGGCCGTTGTTTCAGTCTGGTGTCCTCATGTCGAGACATGTTGCAAGATTCAGATTTGAGTTACCTATAAAGTCTATTACCGTCCGCGTGTGACGTGGAAATCGTGTACAGGTACAGTATTTGTTTGTGGTTGTGCTACATGATTTGGTGTGAGTGAAAATATGCGTTAGTTGTCCACTGGGCGGCGCATGCGCGTGGTTAATCCTTCTTCGCTTAACCGGAACTGCAGTTGCAGCGCCCGAAATTCAGGGTGGCGTTCAAGGAGACAGCGAATGGAAGAGAACTTTTAAACAGCAGTAGCGACAGCTGGACAGGATTTGAGATTAGAGCAAATAACTTGCAGCCCCAGTCAAGCGTAACTAAGTCTAATTCTGGCCATTCAAAATGGTAAATGTTATCCATTTCATTCTCTCGTTTTCCTGACTGCTTCTTCCGTTACTGGCCCAGGGTCGTTAGGTCTCTAGCGTATGTTTGCACATGATCTAATGAGGAAATGTGTTGGTTGTATTGAAAGAAAATTTTTGTGTTCATTTTGTATTTTTCAGAGTGTTTCGTGCTTGTGGCTACGTTGTGCTACCGATGCTGATGTAAAGTCTCATGGTTCAACCAGTAAGAAAAAAACACAGAATAAACCCATTTAAAGCACATTCCGGGGAACTGCTATATTTGTTTCATCTTTCCATCAAAGCGGGGGGAACTGGAAAAAAAAATCTAGAATTTTAGAAGGCAGCAAATGTGTCATAGCACCGTGTGTAGTTAAAAGAGAATCAATCAGGGGTGTCAAGCTCATTTCACATTGTGGGCCACATACGGCCTCGGTAGATGTAAAGTGGGCCGGACCATTATAATTATACCATACTCTGCTAAAAATAATCAAAATAATGTCTTTCCTTTGTTTTGGTCTAAAGAAGCACAAGAACATTAGGAAAATGTTGAAATTTAATCAACAGATCTTTTACAAAACAGTTCATGAAGCTCCTTCGACTTCTTTAGACACATGTGCATTTTACTTTTATCGTTCACATACAGTATATGTATTGCAACTGATCCCACTGATTGTACAAAGGCACACAACTTTAACAAGTAATTGGTATTGAAAAATATAGTAATGCACTTTTAATATTAAACGAGATTTATGAAGAAAGATTTTTTTTAAAACCATTTACACATGCATATAAAATCTTAATGTAATCCCTGCCTACACCTTACAAACTAAAGAGAGTGCAATTAAATTTGTAAAGAATAACGTATTCACATGTCCTTGACAGGGTCTACTGTGTTGGGTCTACCAAAGTGAAGACAAAGACTGAGGCTGCTGTTGTCTTCTTCTCTGATCAAAACGGTGTTTCCCCCTAGCGGATACTCCATGAATTGCACCTTATTAAAAATATTCATTCTGTTTCTTTTATGCATTTTTTTCACTTTTAAATTATCCTGCGGGCCTGATCAAACCTCCTTGCGGGCCGGTTGCGGCCCGCGGGCCGTATGTTTGACACCCCTGGCATAGACTTACAATGAAGGGTCCGTCATTCATTTATCCATCCAATTTCTCCCACTTACCCGGGGTCGGAAACCAAGGCAGAGAAGACTGCCTTCTTTCCTTCCCCTCCTCAAGCATGCAGTTTCATTTCAGCAGGAGTTAACCCTCCAAAAATGTTTGTGTGGGTCGGTCATGCACGCACTCAAACAGGAGGTGGCAACAACATCCTTCGATAACAGATTGCCTCGGCCTCTTTCGCCTTCAAGGTTGCTTTAATTACAAAACTAAGGACCTTGTATTTACCCGGCCAATCAAATCAGCATTAAACTGTAGTCTGTTGCCTTGTTAGTGCAATATAACACCGTTCAGTGTTCTTGAATGTTTTTGTATGCAAGCGAAACTGTATCATTGCATTTTGTCATCACTTTAATACTTCAGAGTGCCCTTATATTTTCTGCAAGAGCAATATATAGCTTGTCTGATTGTGTCCCAAGGCGATCAGATGCAATCATCATTTACAGGTGACAGAGATTTAAACTGTTTTGTTTTCGTATTCGTAGGATCAAAATATGCTGAAATGAGACTGTAGACTCTGATGCTGGGGGGGTCGCCTTGCAGTCGCACACATCTTCAGTCAGTATTGATTTCATGCCAATTCAGATTTGTGCAAAAGTCAAGTTAAATGAACCACATCCATTTAGATTTACACAAGGGACAGAAGAAGGCCATTTCTTGGGGAAATATGCTACAGAGACATTCCCTGACGTTTTGTTTTCACCCCTTTAAACTATAAAATAGATCTCAGTGGAAGGTCTGACCCAGTACTTTGCACGTTTCCGGAGTTTGTCTGGGTTCTGTCAAAGTAAACCACCTTCCTCCCAGAACGCAATCTTGGGTTCAGTAAAGAACACGTCCATTGGTACGAGCAAACAGCTGTGCTGCTTGTCTGTCAACCCCTTGATTGCCTGGTGATCAGTCCAGGATGAACCCAATCCAAATAGGACAAAAACAGGATGGGGTAAGAAATTGATATAACTAATGGCGTCCCATAAAAAGTCACTGGATCGATCCATTTTGCAAACAGTAAAAACGTAACCCAAGTTTCTAGAGACAGCTTCAATGTAACATTCATTTTGAGACCTAATTCCACCATGGAAGCTTCAGTTTCAGATTCTACAGATATGTGCAGTTGACATTGGGTGCACCATTCTACAAGTTGAGATGGCATTGTCAGCAAATGTTTATAGTTAAACAGTACAATTAGGCAGCTGCCACACAGAAGAGTCCCTGGAAGAGTCATTATGGTCTGTTGAGCATAGCGTCTTACCAGCTTAGGCGGTCAACTCCACACATGATGCAGAGACACTCATGCCTCAGTGCATTACAAATGAATAGTTGGGATCCATTAATGATACGAACATCTGCTGACTACACAGTATAGTCAGTTTTGAAAGTGTGTAGATTTGCACTGCATTTGAAAACCTTCAATTGGCTTTCAGTGTCAGAAATAATTGATCACTAAAGAAATGCATTCACTTTTTATTCATAAGATGGGTATGTTTGTTTACATCTTATGCACAGCAGATACAGAGACAAACATGTTTCTAAACCACAAACTAAATTCCTCCCCTCCATTCCTGCTTGCCCATTTCAAAAGTTTGTAGTCCAGTTTCACATTCTGAAAGATCGTTTCACAGCAATCTCATTTTAGCAGACCGGCACACGCCATGTTCAGAATACTTCCATTTTTGGGGGGACAGACACCCAATCCCTATTTAAACAAATTGCACTTTTCTTCCTCTAAAACTATTTTAACAGGATTACAGGAACAAAAATGAACACTGAAAACACAAGGGACAACTAAACATTCAACTTATACATGTTCATTTAAGTTGCACAAAAATGCAGATATATATATACACACTACACAAAAAGTACAAAAATACTTGTACTTTATTCTGGTCAAATAATGACAGGATCACAGGGACTGGGATTGTCAGAACACAGCGTTACCTTCACAAGGTCCATGCGAGATAAGCCATTGAACAGAGGAAAGACAAGGAGCAACAGGGAGGCAAAACATTTCACTGCCCAGACCAAGGTAAAGAGGCAACACAAACTAAGAAAATTAAGATACGCAGAACTCTGTTCTAAATTCATGCCAAAAAGACTTGAACATGCAATGACTTGACACTTGAGGCCAGGGGTAAGATCTTTACAACTTCACGGTGTTAATTTTCCTCAGCAACAATGATCCATGGAGCTTGGACTAGTTCACAAAAGGTTCCTGCAAGTGCTAAGATGTACCACAAAAAGGGGGCACATGGAGATTGTCAACAGCAAGGTGGTTTTCTACTCTGACTCCCCCCCAGAGACAATTGGCGGAGATATAAATACTGTTAACTAATGCACATTTGTCCATTAAATAAACCTGATTAAATTAATGAGCTTGGCAAACCTCACTTCAACTGGACAAAGGTGTGGTTTCCAGGCGCCTGCAGGTTAAAGAAAAAAAAAATTAGTCTCAGAAACAGTTCATGTCCACATTGGATGGTGCACAACCATCTTCAATTTGCTCTGCTCAAAGTTTGTGTGCATGAAGAAAAGCTTAAAACTCAAAGTCCAAACTTTTGTTGCATCCTTTATAGACTCTTGCTCAATCTGCTTTAATGCCAGTCACTTGTAGCTCATTGTGAATTTGGTTTGACACAATTAAGTCAATCGCGTTGTTACCGTTTGCACAAGATCAGTTTGGCAGTCGCAGAAATGTGGATCGTGCAGTCTAAACACTGTTCGACCAAAGATTACTCACTAAGTATCTAACAAAACTGGCGGGACTTCCATCCAGGCTGGGAAGTCTCTGAAGGAGTCGGGTACCAGCGCATCTGAAGACACACAAACAGTCATGACCACAATGAGGTGCTTCAACACATAATTCCAAGATTCCACCCCCACTCCCAACCCTCCTTTTAAAGTAGAGCGGTCTTTCATGTAGCTGCGCACTGAGCACAACTCTGCTGCACTGAAAGTAAACGAAGAGATCAAGCTCTCCATTTAAACATATCCAAATATGAATATACTGCAACGCCTCCGTTCCAGAAGCCACGACATCATTATAGTCAGGAGGTACGCAATTTGGCTACAACTCACTGATGGGAGTACTCTGGCAACTTCTATAATCTCAGATTCCAATTAGAAAGCCTCCCTTTGCCCATGCGCGCGCACACATTTTGGCTACATTCGGTCAGCCAAGCAAATAGCAAGCATTCCTTAGCCTTAAGTGGCCAGCAAAAGGGCCTATGTCATACATAGGCCTTTGTGATGCAGAACTCCCTTCCCTTGTGCTCAATCAAGTGGAACTGGCACACAATGAATTGGAAATGACTAAAAAGCAGGTATGGCATTTTGCCTGAACGGTTCATAAACAGGATTAGATAACTGCAGCGTACATGCCACTTCAAGTATTGGATTTTTTTTTAAATTGCATCTTTTGGACATTGGCCAGGAAAACGGGGAGCTTGATTTTTTTAGAAAGCGTTAGACCAGGGGTGCCCACACTGTTTTGACCGAAGATCTACTTTTCAATCAACCAACCTCCCGTGATCGACCAGTTACCACGCATGCGCGCATTCCATGATGAGCAATAGCCTGACGCTGAGGCATGCGACGCACTTCGGCAGCCTATTAACAAACGTAGCTCACTCGTACCGTTTTAAAATGCTTCTCTCGGCCCTCCAGACTCCCATTCTTTGCTCGTCCCCTCGGTTAATTGTACAAAACAAACTGAATGAGAATAATAACGATAAAAGATATAGCGCAACAACTCCGATCACAAGCTGTAATTGCAGACTGCTGAGCGCTAACAACTTCCGGTGACGCAGTCACACGTCACCGTAGGTTAAAAATGACCTGCTTTGTTTTATTTTTTAAATACTTTTTGTGAAAGTGAGACTGATTTGGGTGCAGTGTGCATTAACACAAAAAATATATTACTAAAATGCACAGAGACACTTTTTCCTCTACACCCCTCGGATCGACTTGGGACCAGTCCTTGATCTACTGGTCGATCGCAATCGACGTAATGGGCACCCCTGCGTTAGACGCTACTTAAACCACTTGATTATACTTGACACGGGTAGGGTTGCCAACTTTCATAAATGAAAATAAGGGACACCCACCATGGCATCTCGTGGCTATGGCCCCCACAGGTGTGGCCCCTGTGGGATGGAGCGACCGCAACAGTGTTACATTTTTATTACAGTTTTTTTAAGTGGGTGTGAGCAGCTCCGCTGTGCATCTCCACTCCAGGCAACCGTGACAGCACCAGCAGCCAGGTACACACAAGACTAGAGTAGGGCTCCCGCATATCACGCCATGACAATTTCATTGACATGAATATTGTGTTGCATTTTGCTCTTTGCTGTCAGATTTGGTGTATGACTGACATTTGTATTGGACATGATCAAAAATACGAGACAAAATTGGGTCATGCAATGGTTCAATACAGGCCGTGACATCCACTGACCAATTCAGGAATGATTCTGTATTTTACAGGATGGTTGGCAACCTTAGGTTAAGCATGCAGAACTTCGTACCAGTGTAACCTGATCCCACTTTAATTTAACAGAGCTGTGTCAGATGGGTCTTCATTGATCATACAAAACAACAGTCTTAGTCTTATAGCTTATAGATTGGTGAGAAAACAATATACTTTTGTCAAAGAGCAGCAGAGTGAAGTTGTGAGTATCCGTTGCAGTGTTTGACAATTCGCATGTAAACGAGAGAATCTGAGATGAACGTCTTACAAAGAATCGTGCAAGGTAGAAGAGAGACACACACCGGTTGGTCCCTCACCTGGGCGTGAAGGGCTGCGGCAGCGGCGGCCGCCGCAGGATAAGTGAAGGCCGCATGAGGGAGGCCGGGGGTCAGCTCTGTTGTGTACAGCGGGTAAGGGGTCCACGCATCCGGGGAGGCAGGGATCAGTGCTGCCCCTGTCAGGTCATCTGAGGATATAATGGCACATATTGAAACAACACTGATTCATTAATCATGGAAAGTTGACATTGTTACAGTAGCTGACCATCCTATAACCACTAAGTGACTTTCAACCAATAATCTTACTCAAGTGAAACACCCCATTTGACCAAATATGTCGTCCACTACCATGTGTGAAACCATTAAGAGGAATGCTGGTCAGAAAAGTTAATGACATCCGGAAAGAAGCAAAGCGGCTGGAGAATTGAGATGCATGCATGTGCAGAGTGTGTTAGATTTGTTAAATACTTTGATGTCAGTGTTTCCGCACCGACAGATTTATTTTGGCACTGCCCACGTGAGAGGGAATGCGAGCCTAGAGGGGTGCAGCCGTTCAACTTACATGGGTCCCGTGCAATGAAGTGTGCTCCTAGAGCAGGGTGGATATTTGTGGGGTTCGGTGTGGCCATCAGCTTACTCTTTGCCATCTTCGTGTTGGCTTTAGCAAACTCTAAGCGCAGGGTCTGTGGGCTTTCTGGGTCAAAACGGATGCCCTGAAGGAGAGACGGAGGGGGACATTGGATCGTAAGGGAGGTGGGCTGAGATCGGGGCAGGGGGCTCGTGTTATGTCTCGCACCGTCTCCTTTCCTACGGCCATGTTTCAATACTCAGGATGTGTCCTTCAAATATCCTTTGAGCCCTGCACTGTTCTGACTGGAGAAGACACCCAATTCCTCCCGACTGTGCCCACTCGAGCAGAACAGTTGAGGACTTGAGGACTGGCTGAAGGATACAACCTGAACATATTTGCAAATTACGCTTGCAGCTCTTCTTCCTCGGGATGAAACCGGAAACTCGAGCGACTGGATTAGATTCAGCCACGTCAAGCCAGGAGGAGGAGAGAGACGAGGAAAGGGACGGTGACGAGACCAAGTGGCAATTTTGGGGTGGTTTTACCTTGCTTGTGTTTTTGTGCCCTAAGCGCTGTGCCCACATGCAAGTGAGAAGTATTTTGGAGTGTGTTTGTGCACGCGCCATCTGGTGTGTCTAAAAGGTGATGCTCATAAGGAAGGCTAAGCTAAAAGTGTATGTGTGTTAGACACTGCCATTGTGGCCTACTGGTGACAAAAATAAGATTACACTCCTGAAGATGTGTTCAAATAACACTAAACGTGGCTAAAGAACAAGTATAGTAAAGCAGTGATATGCAAAATTAGGAAAGCTACACCAGACTAAAAATGTGTATGTGTATCAAGGTCAAAGTAAACTACCGTAATGCTACAGGATTCTCCCATCTTTCCAATAAAGTCCCTGCCATTGAATTATGAAAAGACAGAAAGAGTTGACTTGGTGGAAAATTGACGGGAAAGGATCTTCAAAATACTCCCTTATTTTGGATTTATGTTAGGGGGAAAAAAAAAAAAGATTTGAAAGGGGGTCGAGAAATAATGAGAATACTTGCATTTAGAGCATTTTTTGCTGCTTCAGCTCCAGATCGACTGTCAAAGGTTACAAACCCGACTGGCTGGAAGACAAAAATACTGAGGGCGTCAAGCACACATTTTACATAAAAAAAAATCCAAGTGGGAAAAGGAATTGAGACACAAAAGTAATGATTCATCCCACCACTGACATTAAGAGGCTGTCCACAAATTTTAGCAACAACAGATTGAGACTCACCTGTTTTGATGTTAACTTAATCAGTGACCCTTCATAACCCTGTGGAGAAGAAAGACAGCCAATTATCCACCGTGGAGTCACATGCAAGGAATTCAGGCATGAACGCAGCTCGCCAAAGGAAGAGAGACCTGCTTCTGTGAGCCCTCAGCTGGAGATCAGTTGGCAGCCAAAATGGCTCCCGTTGCATTTGTTGTTATACTAACATTAAGACTACTTTTTAAACTCCCAAAAATACAGTGTGCTACTTTAACATTTATATAATTGGGGGAGGGGAAAAAATGTGAATTTGTTGCTCAAGATCCTTGACAGACAATAGCTTAACAGGCTATTTTTATTAAAGCTAAAAAGATACCTGCAATCAATCAAATCCCATACATAAAAGCAAAAACGCTCCTTGCACGCAACCTATCAGCGGCAGGCACCCAGCAACTGTATGTCAGAGCAGCGATTGTAACAAAACGTCAGCTATTTCAAAATGCTTAAGCACTATTTGAGGGAAAAACTTGCCCTTTTCGGTGGGCAAGTTGGCTTCACACAGCCTTGGTTGGTCAGTGGCGAGGGTTACTCATTTACACATTCCTCAGGATCATCCATGTGCAAGGGATACCACTTCCAATTTGGTTCGTTAGGACACGGGTGGGAGGGGTGTTTATGAACCGGAGAGCCCAGTTGAACACAGCCGTGGATGAACAATGAAGTGGCCTCATTTTCACATATGCAAATATTTGGACTCATTAACAGTTTGATTTCAGCTCCAATGTACAAACCGGCTTGATTAAATCTTTGTGTTCGACTGCACATCTACACCAGTGTTTCCCAAACGCTGAGCCAAGGCACCCATTTTCCTTTAAATCTCCCAGCACAATGGCCACCCCTCCCCCCAAAAAAAAAACAAAAACTAAAATATTGTTTCAATTTATATTTGGTGCGAAATGAATCACCCGTGTGAAATCTGGTCCCATTTAATTGAACACAAAGGTCTACGTGCAGGAATTTATTCTGTTGTGATTATTTTGCAGACTCTTATTTCACAGCTCCTCTAAACGTGCAACATACCTTAAAAGGCCTGAAGAGAAGGTACAGTTCCCGTGGTTTGATGTCAACTGGTAGGCCGCTGACAAACAGTGTTCGTACCTGAAATGTGGAGTCAAAGTTAAGACACAAATGAGATTATACACGCTGATGAAACCACTCCACAATTTCTCACTTGAATAGTTTTGGACAAACCGTAAGTGGATTTTTTTCCCCCAAAAGGCCAAAATTCAATCTGTTTCCCTCTCATGATAAACAGTAGCTGTCCAAATGTGCAGTGAGTTACACACTTGCCAGTGTCCTCTCCTCACTGTAAACATTACACATCTAACAACATATTTAGGTGCTTTTTTTTTAATGAGTTCACCACCTCAGGTTCAAAGAGTCCTTTATTGAAAATGTGCAATGCCCACTCCTCTGATCTGCAGGTTGGAAACCGAAGTACAAAACTGCTCTTTAGTTTCACAAACAGGTCGGTCACCCGTGACTCAAACTTTAGTGAAAGAACACTCATTGTGATCTCCCTAAATGAGCAAAAACCAAACAAGGCTCTCATCCTGCTGGGCGTGCACAGCTCATTGAGGGCCGATGCCGAGTGAAGCCCAGAGTGGCTGTGGAAACAAACAGTGTGCGGGGCCCATTAGTTCTCAGCTGGTGGGGAGGCCTTGGCTACAATGGGACTGTCAGAGGAACAGCGCTGGACAACAGTTCACAGCATGACACCATTTCCTTCCTCTGACCCCTGGCCCCTACGCTGCCATTTTTCAGGTGCCGCAGCACCAGTTTCCTCCTTTGCAACAACTAACATGCCTGAGCAGCTGGTATCACAATGGAAGATGAAGACTGAAACCGCCGTTTGGCTTGAATATTTAAGCAAACCGGAACGCATCCTCGATTTATGAGTAACAAGAATATTAGTAAAACTGACTTGGTCAGGTTTTCGGCTTGCTCTTTGGGCAATGATAAGTCAGCACACAAGCTTTGATAGAGAAGAGCAAAATGGAAGCAACAAGAAGGGCCCATGCTGTGCTCACCCTCGTGTCTCAAGAATCAGTCCACAAATTTAGCTGGACAAAAGACCAATTATGGGAACTGGAATAAGTCATCCTGTTCACACGATGTCAAAAGGAATTTTGGCACAGACAGATTTGGCTTTTTTATCCTTAAAAAAAAGGTAGAGGGCGTGGGCAACCTTTTGCCCGTTTGAAAGTACTTTTATTGCACGAGTTGCTCTAAATGTATACTTCAAAATTATTGACTTTATATACAGGTTTTGTCATTTCGAATTAGAATTTTCAGGATTTCCTCCGTGTATTATGTTTTTTTTTTTTTTTTTTAAGATTCCCCTTTCGGAATTGCATCATTTAAAACCAGCGCCATGGTCAAGAAAAGAACCTTAAATTTTCCGCAGATGTTTTATATGGGTTGGTTTAATGAACAGCCAGATTGAAAGGGAAAAAGGTGGAACCTGACCTCCTCCTCCAGGGATACGTTGTTGGGCTCCGGGTCCGTTTTAAGGCTCATGTTGAAGATGCCGCCGCGGCGCCGAGTGCGTGTTGGCCGTGGTGAGTTGCGGCGGCTGTGACAGTCCGGTGAAGGTCGTTCAACTCGAGGTGGAGCGGTGAGGCGGTGAAGACGTTGGCGGTTTGGTTTTCTCCTTCAAAACGGCTTCAATTCGCGTTTCAAAAGGAATGAATGTTCCTCTCCCCAAAAAGAAGGCGATGAAGGGGGGGAAAAGGGAGTGACGGAAAAACAAACGCAGCCGCGCTAAACTAAAAGTGAGAATGTGGATTTGTGCGCCGTGTGTGAAGGTGAAAGACGGGGGAAAGAAGTGAAATAAAAAGCTCACAGCCTCTCGGCTCACATCAATGCCTTCAGCTGTGGGACTACATGTGAACAGGAGGAACAAGTCAACTTTTCTCCTCCTCCCGCTCCGCAATTAGGTCATCAATTATGTGTGTGCGCGGACGTAATCAGGCTGCAGATCCGCCTCAGCTGTGCCAAAGAGACTCCCTACGCCCGGTCGGCCTCGCCTGGCCCCGCCCCCGTCGGCCTTCCCTCACCCGTACAACCAATAAGCTAGCACCAAGGACAACGCCACTTTATTAGGGACACCGTCGTAGTTGGAAGATTTCTTTGGGATTTGTTCTGCTTAAAAAAATACTCAGTCTAGTCTCAAATCAAAATAAGACAACAAGCGCACCCTTCGACTGAACAAAAAAAAAGTGTGGACAACTATTTTGATTGCAAGACTTTATTTTAGTTACTCAAAGTCCAGGTGGGGGTGAATTTAAAGGTGGCGTTTTTTTTTTGTGTAAGTAATAAAACGTATTTTACGTCGCATTTTTTATACATATTACATGAGGTAAAACTGAAATACCTTTCAAAAATACGTTATCTGGCTCTTAATTTGTGCCATCATTAATGTTTCCTAATTGTGATTTTGAGATGCTTGTGTGCGTTATTCTATTATTTGGGGCCATTTATAACGTTGTATTATTTGGGGAAGATAACAATGATGATAACAGGATATTTTTCAATTGCAAAATCATCATTAAAAAAATAAAGAATATATTGAACCGTATTTAGACACCTGATATAATACATAATGCAGTATATATCATAAAACAAGGTGGTCGCTGTGCTTTTTTTTTTTAAATTAACTTACCTGTTTGAGAATACAGGACATACATACGTGTATGAATTCCAATTTGAAACGTACGATCATACAAATATAATGCAGTAACTTTCGAGCTGTATATGTAAAAAATAATACCATTATATACAATAAATAAATGCTGGTGTTTCACGCAATAAATATTGTGAATGTCTGCTGGACATTGTTCTAAATATTTTCTCAAGATTGAGTTTGTGCGTACTCTGTCTTAACCACGCGCGCACACGTCAACACGCGTTTAGTTTTCTGGCTATATAAAACGCAAGGCGCGGTTTGAGTTGCCGTCATTTTCGTCCCTGTGGAATAACAACAATGCCGATGTGTTTTACATGGAGCAAAAGGCTTCTATCTGCGAAGTGCCGCGGCCGTGGACGTGGACGTGTGCCAATGTGTTTCCTCCCAACCAGACAGCTTCCGGACTTTGTGTGGAAACAATCAGACCTGCAGGATGAGGAGGGGCCGGAGGAGGGACGCACATGGAGTTGCTGGCCTTCTGCAAGGATTTCGTCTAAAAATAGGCAAGTCGTCTATTTAATGTTGTCGATGTGGACGAGTGCGTGTCTACTTGAAGCAGCTCGGTCTCAAATGAGAAAACACACGTGCCAAGACATATATTGCAATAAATCTCTCGTGGAAACCGCTGTCTAAAATCATTTTGTCATGCAAGTACAAATGTTACATTGTATGTTCTAATGTTCAATGTCTGCCTGTTCATCCGATGCTGTATTTGGATTAAAACGTGCCTTTAAAACAATAATAATTCGCCACACGTTTTGATTCACTGCCTGTTATAGATGTGCGCTTTATCTTTCCGAGATGTGTTTTTAATATATTCGTTATTTATTTGACTGGGTTACGAAGTTCAAGACGTACGACTTTGTGAGGTTAGGTCGTCAAGTGGCACAAGAATGCACGTTCAGATAACGTCGTACGTAGATTTTTTTTTTTTTTTGTAGCCTATTGCTTTATATTTATCGCCAAGGTTGTTTTTCATAGTGTCATATTTGTAGTAGTCTACATATTTTTGTCATTCTGGCGTTACCACAATGAAAAAAAATGGAGCGCTATTAACTTGAAAAAAACCTTGTGCATTTTTTTTTTACTCAGAAATTCAAAGTAAATCTTATCAGGAGAGTTCTGGAGTACATTTTATTTGCATATTTTATGTTTTTTGAAGGGAATTACCCAGGTAACATTAACTAGTAATTATCTATTAAATATTTGTATTCCCTTCATTAGCATTTTTATTTCTTCTAATAACAAAAAAAATGGAATGGTCTTTCACTTGTCGTACCTTAACACTGTCTCCTCTTCTTCAACATGGTCACAAAGGTTGAGGATCCAACCCACAGCCATGAAGTTAGGAGATGACCACTACTACTAGCACATGAGTCACGCCTTTGGATTTGTTTATCCCAGGTGCAAGCGGAAGCCTCGTATACTTCCAAAATCAGGAGACCCTAAAAATATCACATTTGTTCAGTCAATAACATTGCATCGTCAAAAGAGCAAGCCATTTTCAACACTAGATTGGTCCATAATTTGTAAAAAAAAAAACAACCCAATATTGATATTGGAATATTGAGTCTGAGACAAGTGTTCCAATACTACTTTCTACTATGACTGTATGTCCAAACTGTGCAACTGAATATCATTAATTACAACAGGTCAACATTTTTTTACAGTTTTTTTTTTTTTTTAATCAAAGATGCAGGTAAACTTTGCTATAATTTTATTTTTGGCGCTGATTCAGACTCAACCCTTGTTTGTTTCGCTGGCACTTTAGGTTATTATAAGATGATTATTAATAGTAATTATATAAAATATATGAATATATTTCATAGTAATATTTATAAATTAAGTGTTAGGCTCAGCAACAAGGGATTTTTATTTAATTTTTTTTGTGAAACATCCAAGTGCTAAATTACAACGCATGGTAAAATCCGTATTGCACAACCTATTATGGGACAAACTCAAAAACCAAAAATGAATATACTGTATCTCAAAAACCCGATGTGCAAGAACAAAAGTGAAGAGATCACAAACACAAAACAAAATAGCGTCACAAACACGTTTTGGGATACATGAAGCCATATGCGGTTCAAATTTGTTGTTGAACCGTGTCACAAAAAACAATAGTGTGTCATTTACGTGTATCTAACTGGTACCTTTTCTCATTTATCAAATAGATCTCAGTTTCAAAAAGGTTGGTGACCCTTGTACTTACATCAAGCTTAACTGTTGTTGTGCTTTCATTTGATCATGTCAGCCTATATTCCAGTCAGTGCAATGAAGAAGTTCACTTAAGATAAGATAATATAATATATCCTTTATTTGTCCCACACTGGGGAAATTTACAGTCTACAGCAGCAAGATTGTGGGGAGAAAGAAGAAAAACAAAGTGTCATTGTCTTGCTTGACATTTATTGTGACAATGATTTGTAAGTAGAATTCAGACCTCGTGTTCTTTTTTACGATCTCTGTTGAGAAATGGAGAATCAAAATCCAAGAATGTGTACATGAGAAAATCCATCGAGATGGTCTGTAGCTGGCAACCGTGTTGTTTGAGAATAGGAGGGAACGACATCTCTTACGCTCTGTTTGTCATTTTTGCAACACTCGCAACATATGAAAAATTTAATCTCCTGCGGCACCATCATGAATTTATTCAGCAACTACAACTTGCAGTGTACAGAGCGGAAGTTTTAATGTGAGGGAGGGCCACCACAGGTAAGACTAACAAAAAGTTGAAGCTGAACATTAGTTGCGCATTTCATACAGCGTGATCTCGTTTTACAAATCTTTCAATAAAATCACAACATGATTGTTTGCTGTAAACACTGGTGGTTCGATATGGTTTTATAGCGTGTGGAAGTAGTCATATTAAAAATGATTAATATTCATTTGAAAGCTTCACACAAACTATAATGGTGCCTTGACTTCACTGAAAACAATTTGGAGTGCTGTTTATTTTACTATTTACTGTCCTCCCCAATTGAAATGAATGGCTATGCAATTAATTTGTTGTCAACAAAAAAAAACATTCATTTTTCAATCCACTTGATCCTCACAAGGGTCACGGAAGGGTAGTGAAGGGGTGTTGAAGCCTATCCCAGCTGTCTTTGGGCAGTAGGCGGGGGACACCCTGAACAGGTTGCCTGCCAATCGCAGGGCATACAGAGACAAACAACCATCCGCGCTCACACTTACAGCCCAGGACAATTTAGAGTGTTCCATTAACCTGCCATGCATGTTTTTGGAATATGGGAGGAACACAGAGAAAAACCCACGCAGGCACGGGGAGAACTTGCAAACTCCACACAGGGAGGCCGGAGCCGGAATCGAACCCTGCACCTCTGCACTGTGAGACTGATGTGCTAACCAGTCGCCCACCGGGCCGCCCTCACAACAAGTCATTCTCTAAATTGTGTGTTGGATTAAATGTTCCATTTTTTTTTTTGTTGTAATTCTTCTGCATCATTGTTACCATGACATTGTCTTATAGTGGAAATGTGAATCACAGTTGTGTATGTCATTTGCAACAGTGCAGTGTGCAAGAAGTATCAGTAAAGTCCTAAACATTTTTTTTTTTTTGTCGGCAACCTTGACTAAACATTGTTTTGTGTGGCTGAACCCCTTGCACTTTAGCGTATGTCTTATTTATGTGCCTCTTCTCCATGAGCTGTTTGACGTCATTGAAGGCAAAAGTCAGTCGTCTGTGGTTTGTTGGCGCTGGAGCTTTGCACGATGAAGACTTCCGCAACAGAAACTATGGAGGCATATTGGAGACGTTATGCATCTAATCATCACAGTGTATTTGTTTTTTTTTAAATGCAGTCGAGCATTAGGACCACAGACACTCTCTCTAATATAAAGGCTGTGTAAAAAAAATTCAGAGGCACTGTAATAGATCTTAGTTTTGTTTGTCATCATCAGATATCAAGGTCAAGGTCATCTTTATTGTTAAATATGATTTATGTATAACATGCAGCACAGATGAAATTTCTGATATGTATTGTTGAACAGTATTATTTTCCTGTGTGCTACAATAACAATGTGGCTGGAAAGAAATATATTGAACACTTTTTGAATAAGATCTGTTTTCTTCTGGATTTAATATTTCAAAGCATATTGACTGATCGTATGCTATTTTTGTGTTACCTGTGAGCAGACGTATCTAGTCTACTTCAAGTACTTCAAGAGAAAATGTGCTCTAAATAAATTGCTCATGTCAGTTTTTTGGCTATGAAAAGCATCAAGGTCAAATTCTACCAAATACACATTTACGCCATGCTATTTTTTTTCTATTTAATAGCACAA